TCACTGCCGCTTATGCGATTTTTTATACATGAGTTGAATTGTCACTAAAAAAAACGTAAATTATTAAGGTAGTGTATTAGCGTCTTAGGAGTAAGATAACATTTCCACTTAATATGATCCATATAAATCGAAGGTCAGTCATCACATATTACCTTCCATCTTTATTAGACTACAGAGACCTCAGGGATTCAGGTTAGAATCTTGCTATATGTTGACCAACTAAAGTGAGAAAGGCCTTCCTTATTTTTTGACCTACATTGCCAATTCACGACCTACAAATTTGATAAAGAATCCACTTGCAAAATTTCAACGTAATCGGTCCGTCCGTTAAATAGATGGGCGTGCAGCAATCGAGTGAGCGAGCGAACGATTGGGAGAACGCATAAGCGTCTCGACGCTAACACACACAGCACGGATTGCAGTAAAAGTATGTGGTCACAAAAACTGGTTGCATTTTAGATTATAACCTTATGCAATGATGTGCTTAATTATTCCGATATATTTAGTAGATACCTAAAAGCAGCAAACCTTCATTCCGGATCCTAACCTTAATCAGCGCCTGTCGGCTCAAGAAACATCCGATAAAAAATTATTTTCTGGGTATTTTGTAAAAAGAACGCTTTATACTTATGCAGAGAAAACGGGCACACGGTTGCACGGTGGTTTGCAAAAAATTCCAAATCGGACAAGGATTTTCGCGAGCTGATTACCATAATATGACAATCTGCGTGTTAGCAATTATGCAGTCTTTTGATTACGTTGTATCTAAAACTATACGAGATAAATTACTCTGTTTCCAGGGAATGTTTTTGTTATACTTTGTGGTTAGCTCACTGAGGTCAACTAAAATTATACCAACACAAAAACTGTATTGATACAGTGTAATCGTTTAAAATCGGTCCGTCTGCAACACTGTGACGTATTAAAAAATATTATTATTATCTTTTTCAACCAATAATGCATAAATACATTCGCATTCCGGAACTTTTTCTATAAACAAAACCTGGCAATTACATTTCAACGTTTCCATATGAAATGTGACCGTACTGTATAATTTAGATTTACCTATTACACTTTGCAACCTTGTTTTTGCCGGTAATAACGCCAGTTATTTCTTATATTTCCACTTATTAAGAATTATGCAACGGACAAGAGTATTAACCTCGAATATAATAAAAACAATCTGGCAAACGAGCCACAAAACGAAAACCGCATGTTAAACATTCAATACAAGTAGTTATGTATTGGTTACATAATGTTTTTCTTTTATGCGATTTTGACGCGGAATATTGATAAGTTCATAACCGCTAACAATCGAATGTTTTCTTATTTCGTGTTGTTAAAACACGTATTGCATGAGAAATTATAGTTAATTAGACAAAAACGAAAATGCTGGAAGGCACGAAACCACTCGTTTCTCTCTACAGCGGCATTGCGTTTAGATCTGCCATAACGTATCAAATTGTATCATATTTCTCACACTCCAGAAAGATTCTAATAATGCCATTTACCCACGAATTTAAGTGTCTTGGTATTTTTCACGATCTAGTAGTATCCCAACCGACTTGGCGCACAAGTGGTCATTTTAAATTTTAGTTTTTGGAAAAGGTTTCTGGCAGTAGATGAATGATGTATATTTTTTTTCAATGTTAATTACTCGAAAACTTGGCAATAATAAGTGAGTTAATTTAGTGCCATAGGTATATAGTTTCGCAGACATTGCCGTAGAAAAACAAAAGCGTTTGTATTACTGTGTCAGGGACGCTTTTTCCTGACCTATTCTTCAAATATTTGTTTTATCTCATATTTTTCCTCGCAACTTACAAATAAATTTTGTGTTTTCGTACCTAGTTGCTCAGAATGAATATACGCAGACGGATCTTTATGGTCTATAAATTTAATGGCACGAGGGTATGTTATCACAACCTAAAAAAGTTTATTTTCATATACAAAGGCAGTAGGTGAAAGCGTGTTCATCTGCGCAGTGATGTTTGTTTTCATTATACACGTAATGTTAACGTTGAAGGGTCTGAAGTTTTAAGGGTTGTAGGCGGCCACATTTGTATCGCGGAAATCTCCAAGGAAATCACTATAAAAGTTGACACAATAAAAGGGGAAATGATCTTTAAAATATAAAATGTTAAGCATCTCGTAAACCCAAATACTGGAGCAGAAACTTTTGAAAAATCTATCTCAATTGTTTCCTTCTATCTTTACAGCTTCAGTTTCATTTCAATTTTTTTAAAACTAAAATAAGCCGTAAATCAGGATGAAGTTTGATATAATGCCGTGGGCACGCTCTTGATAACTTGATTTACAAAATTTTCGTGTGCGCCTCCAAAAATCGCCCACAGAAGATTTGGCGGCAGTATCTTCGCCAGGAAGTTCACCATATCATCTTGCACTTTCGAAAAGTAACATCACAACCATTGTCCTCGTAAGGACTCTATTACAGTCTACAGAAGGTCTCATTTTGCACTTACAGGTGAATTTACGAAAGGTGAGACCTGTGTTCCAAGTTCGTGTACTCATTGCCAACTATTTCAAATTGTTACCAGTTCTTTCTCGCTCATGCGTTGACATGTGATAGAGAATAAAGAACTCGTTTGAAATTGGCTCACCTTTCGTAAATGCAACTGTACAAAGTAGTAGCAGAATTTACTGACGATAAATACAAAAAATAATGACGGGACACCCTGTATATGAGAATATTTCAATTCATTAAGTAAATCTGAGGAATTGCTTACGAATAAACACAGAGTTGGTTTGTTTTACTTGAATTTGCTTTTCCTCTTAGAATGTGAGACGTGCAATTCTTCGATTTCATTTTATCGCTTTGTAATTATTCAATTTAGATAAGGTGTTCCAAGTAAGACACATCTGGTCAGTTGCGACAAGGAATTTTATCAGGCGAAAACTAATTGACGCACGTGTTTTATCGCTGATAAGATATAACGAAGAATTGCGAGCCTGCTGCTGCTAGTTTTCGGAACTGTTGAACAGATTGTGCATTTTTTATGCTAAATTACTGGCAGTGAACCCGATTTGTTTTGTTGAGGCCGATATCTTCTATAAAAAATCTGCGCAGAGGCCAAAGGCATGTGAGAAGTTTAACGTGTGTTGTCCAATTACGGAAAAAGTTTTGTCGAGTTAAAAAAGGAAGCAGTGTACAAGCGGGTATTTTTTGTTAAGGTCTAAGAGTCATCGAATATTTTGTCAGTCAAGTCAGTTTTGTTTGTCATCTAATTCTGTGTCAGAAAGCAACGTGAAGTTAAAAGGGTGGCAACGTTCGTGTGTGAGTTAAGTGCGCCTTATATCGCAAATCTTGTACGACCAGATTATGTAGATTATTAAGAAAAAAAGCTGTAATTTGGATATTGCTTATTTTATTTGTCGACCGCCTGCGCGCGGTGCTTTATAAGATTCTTTGCAGGGATTTTGTTTTTTTTTAAATTGTTTCGGAAATAATTTCCTTCATTGTCAATCAATTAATTGTGTTTATTGAACTCCAAAGAGCGACCCAGATGGAGTTTTCAGGTGAGATTTTTTTTCTATTCGTGCCTAGATTTACATATTTCAAGTGTTAATTAAAAGTTGAAGAAATGAGAAAAGAAAAATTACGTTTTACGACTAGAACTCGATGCGCATCGATGCTGAGAATAATTAACTAAAAAATAGGTAAACATATTGCTGTGCCCCACGTTGGGGGTGAAATAAAAATGCTATGTGCAATAGCAAACGGTCACTAAACCACTCACAAGCACATTTTCAGTTAGCTCAATTAAGCGCAAGACACTGACAAAATCTTTTAACAAAAAATTCTGATTATAAAATTTTCTAAAGCACGTCCGGCAGCTAAGACCACAAAAAATCTCGATAAGACTTTAATTTTATTAAATTGAGAAATTCAGCAATCTTAACCTCCTCCACAATTCTAAAGAATTAAATTACGAATTTCCAATTAATACCTAACGTAACGAATTACGTTAGGATACCAAATTGAAAAATTATGAGAACTCTATCTAAGTTGTAATTTGGGCTCGAATATTTTGAAGATAAAACTTACCTTCGGTGAAGGCGTAGATAACAAACTAAGAAAGCGCAGTAGTAAACTAAAATTTAGCAATGTATGACAACTCCGAGATGTACGTTACAACGCAGGTCGTTCTTTTTTTTTGAATCCAAGAGAAACACATTAAACCGAGCTCGTAAAATTGCAATTTTTATTATTTAATTGTCTGCGTATACTTGCTAATTTTCAACATCACCAGTTATCATTTATGTCACTTGTCCATTTGGTTTAGTAGAAGGATAAGCTGTAAATAGTAGTTTATTCTTTGTGAACGGGCAAATAAAGTTATTTTTAGAAATGTGTTCCGCAGGTTAGAAGTCAGTTGAACTATCGACCCAACTACGTAACATTCTGAACATTGTAGTGTGATACGAATATGAGAGGGTGGTAGTAACCAATCTGGAGAAGGTCGGTCACAAGCGTTGGTGGTGGTGAATAAATGTCTATACTTTGCAGAATTACTCCAGCGAGTCCCATTTTCAGAAGCAGAAATTGAGCAAACCTTGAAGCACGAACACTTTTTAATTCGAAAACAAAACTGAATGTACAAACTTACAGATATTAAAAATGAAGGCTACACAATCCACCTGTATAATTACGTGATTTTTTCCTCCTTGAATAATGAACATGAGAATACGTAGTCGAGAAGCAAAAATTGTTACAATCTTGATCTGGCGCAGACAAAGAAAGCTGGCATTACTCAACACTATTGTTGGGCACATCAAAAGCACTGACGGAATTAAAACCCATTATTAGTTACTCTTTTTTGAACGCCAACTTTCTCCGAGAATGAATAAGCAACATTACAATATTCGAAAATACAACTGCAGTGTACAACCGACGACTTGTCTTTTAAAAAGCGTATAAATAATCATTACCGCACTGAATCCCGATTTAAGGCGAGATTAATAATTAATGGAAGTCTTACCTGGTAAACTTTGTAAGGCAGCGATTTATGTATGGAATCGTCATCTTCGGCCATTTGAATCTGTAAAAAGTAAAAAGCTATAAATTTCGAAAGACGCTGTACGTTTTTCATGTGTGTTATGAGCACTAAATATCTAGCGTTATTTCATTATTTGCATAGTAATTAGATAAACTTAACATGGTATATAATTTGCAGATTTTTGTTAAGACTTGAAATGAACCGCAACGCATGTACCGGCAATTAAAGCGAGGCTGGACGTTTTACCGGTAACATTTTTTTTGTGTTTTACATTACTATGTTTACTATGGTCGCAAAAACATTTTAATGTGTTAAACATGAAAAAGTCGTCTCTTTTCCAGATGTTCTTGTGGTTCTAAAAGGGCAATTGATCAGTTAATACTCATCCCCCTCCCTCCCTCTTTTCGAACTTGATGTTGCGTATGCTTGAAGGAGGCCGACGCTCGCAAGACTGAACGCCCGTAGCGGGTAAACGAGAGGATCCAGGAAAATCTTATCATTGCTTAGGTAGAGAGTAATAGTATGGTGGTACCGAAGTCACAAGATACGTATGCAAAAAGAAGTAATTTTGGGGGTAATGCAGTTTTCAATCGTGGAATGGTAGAAATGGTGTTTCGCTCTCAACAAACCACCCCACCCCACCGCGTTTCGAGAGAGGAAGGGAACGTCGGTCACTAGAACAGTGGACTTTTCCACAATCGAATCAAAGCAATCTATAGATAACTTCTGTTCTAATTTACAGAAAAGGACATCTGGGGGGAAGGTTGGGAGGCACAAAAATATATGGGCGAACCTTGGTTTCTGAAATAGAAACCCCATGTGCGATACATCATTGGGCAGCTCTTAAAAAATGTGAATTACCCAACAGCCCCTGGGGTGTTATGGTAAATACAAAACAAAACGCTAATAACAACACTACAGCGCCCACATATGGGTTTTAATTAATTTTTTGTTTTGAAAAAGAATCTAACCCAATTTTTTTCGAAGGTCGCAAAAATTTCGTGTCCATTCATATAGTATAAAAGTATATCATGTCTTACACAATAGCGTGGTCTGGCATCATGAGATCACGGAATAGCTATATTTTTCCCACGCGTATTATGTAAATTGTTATTTTCCAGTATAAATACAAAACAAAAAACTGTCCGCGACCTTCTCAAGTCCCATAAGTAGTTACGTTTACTATAGTATTAATTTTGATGAATATTGTGCCTAAAAGTCATGCTTTTTTAATTATCCCATTTATTAAGGATCCTCAGATCCTTTATAGTTTTGTATTGTCGCCCGTCCGTCCGTCCGTCCGTGTGCGCTCTAACTCTTTTTAAAAGTGGCCGATTGAGTTGAAATTTGGTGTACGGGTTCTTTGGACATTAAGGACGGACGCTATTGATTTTCAGGAAGCTGGTTCAATAGGAACAAAAGTTATAGGACTTCGAGTGAATCGGGAACAGGAAAAACTACGGGCTCAATATAATAGAAATCAACATATTTCATTCCCTAGGTCATGTATCGGGTTGGGACTTCCGCTAGATTATTCCCTATGACTCTTAGATGTGTAATACTTTAATATAACTCTTCTCTGTGGTATAGGTCGAAAGTTTTAGAGCAAAATGTAGCAAAAATTACACTTTATACATGAATTTAGAGTTTTAAAAGGTTTCAAACGCATTATCTTGATGCAGCAAGAGTACATCACGTGCACATTTGATAACCGCATGTGTGTGATTCAAAAATGTTAAATTATTGCCATATGGGTTTTGATCAAAATAATCAAAATCGTTATTTATGCACCAAGATCGTCGAGAAAAAGACTAGGGGCATTATCTCAATGCTCAAGACATAAATTTGATGCATTTCTGGCGACCACATGGATTTTGATCAAAACATGTCAAAATCGTTATTTATGCACCAACATCGTTGGGAAAAAGACTAAGAGCATCATCTCAATGACCAAAACATGAATTTGATCTATTTTTGGCGACCACATGAATTTTGATCAAAACATGTCAAAATCGTTATTTATGCACCAAGAACGTTGGGGAAAAAGACCAAGAGCATTATCTCAATGATCAAAACATGAATTTGATCTATTTTTGGCGACCACATGGATTTTGATCAAAACAAGATTAAGAGCATTATCTCAATGGCCAAGACATGAATTTGATGTATTTTGTAACATTAAAATAAATTATCGTTAAAAGTTATTGTAATACTGAGGATCCTTCGATATTTCGTTGTATCGGTTTATTTGATTTAAATTAGACACATGAAAAGATTTCTCGTTGTCAGTACCCTACTCCGACAATTCATTTTCGAGATATCCGCACTTGAAGTTTTCACATCGCCTATAAATGTTTCAATCGTTCTTTGTGAGTAACCTCTTCCGACACTGTGTCCTCGATACATTTGTAATCTTCAAATAAATTCAAAAAATAAAAAAAAACGCTTAAAATGACCGGTTGGCATTGGAGATCCAAACTCTAAAATTCCCCCATTTTTAAAATTTGGAAATTGTTTTAATTTGTAACACACAGTTCCAGGCCGTTTGGTCTCAAAATAATACAATTCGCAACTTTAGGCTATTTCAAAGACAGAAATCCATCAACCGATTCAAAAATTAACGAGACAGGCGTTTTCTAAAGTCTTCATGAATTTAAAAAATCAAAAAAATTGAATGGATCGGAAGCAACTGAAGAATCCGAACAAATTTTGAGATGCTGAAGAAGCGGACACTTTTTAAATATTTGAATAATTGCGTATAGGTAATTGAAAAATTTCAAAGATTGGAGAAATCTAAAGATCGTGGTGGTTTATCCAACCTGTAACAATTGTTCAAATTGTTGTTAAATTTACGTAATTATATCCTATCTCGTATCCCATTTAAAGTCATCATTTCTTTAGAAGAACAATAATGAACCTGCCTCATTTGCAATGAAAAAGTCTCAAATTCGCTCGCTTAAGAGACACGAGGGTAAATAAAAAAATTTCAGAATGACTCTATATTGAAAGACACAGAAAAATGTCTAGTTACAACAGTTTCCAAGTATTTTAAACTAAAATTGAATTAAATTATCTTCTCAAAAATACGCACCGAGGACATTTAATAAAGATACAGGTGGTTCTTTTTAAATTTTTGAATCAATGAATTGTTTAGTGATATATTTTTGAAAAGAGAATTTAATATGGTATCTTTTTAGAATAAAATATACAGAGCGTACGAGGAGCGTTACAAATAATAAAATGAAGTTAGGTCCGATAACTATTTTACCCGACCACGAACTTATTTTGAAAACAGTAGATTATTCAACAATTATTTAAGAAAATTATAATTTTTCTTAAAATGCTTTTGAAAATTCTCCTCTCGACATAAAGGGAAAAATCAAAAAATTTCAGAATACCAGATATTTTTTTAGTTTAAAGAAAAAAATTCTCTTAAAACAGTTTCTTTATATAAATTGTTGCATAATCTGCCGTTTGCAAGATGCGGGGTTAGGTAAACAAATTATCGGGCTTAACCCTGTTTTTTTTAAATGACGCACCTTATATTTTACGCTAAAAAATAGCACATTACATTGTCTTTTCACAAATATTAAAATAAATTAAAAAAAAAGAAAATTATATTTTTGAAATATGCTATCTTTTTAGATTAAAATATAATAAATAAAATAGGTTAGGTCCGATAACTTTTTTAGACTCCGTATGCTTATTCTTAAAATGACGGATGATTCATCAATCATATTTTGAAACTGTCAATTTTTGTATTTTCCGCCATACGTCTTAAGCGAGTGTTAACATTTGCAAATTTTCAGTTTTCCATTTTAAGTTTGCCCCAAAAAGATTTCATTTGATTTGATAGTAGTAATAATTACAGAGTAACGATTGTTCTCAATGTAAATGAAAAATAGCATGGCGCTTCCCTTTGACAAATTAAAATTAAGTGCGTGCGTATATGTATCAGGGAGTAAGACGCTTCTGGCGTGCTTCTAGAAGTCCGACTCCGAACGGGGTAGTTGCGCAAATTAGTGTCACTAAGTAGCCATATTGAAATCCAACCCTCGCTTCCCAAGTTGAAAAATCCGCACATGGGTTGTTTCAATGCAAGCAAAACCGTTACAGAACGAAAGGGTTTGCTTGAGGATTGCATAATCGATAGTGTGCAACAGTAAGTGCATGTCAACAGACAAAAGGGTCGATGCGGTATGTGCCAATTGAGCATCGGTGACTCATCTGCACTTGCTTTCCATTTGAATAAATTTTGCATTTTAAAAAAGTGTAAAGGTGCTTCTTATAATGTAATGAACCCAAGGATGTCGAATTAATGATTAATATTACCCTCGATATTACGTGTCTTTTCATTTACTTATTCAAATTAGCACAACTCGAGCATTTTCGTGTCGGCCAGTAATTACAAAAGCATCGAAAAAACTAACCGCTTCCGCAGAAAGTTGAATAAGTACATTATTGGGATTGGGGTTGTCCTGCAATCATATTCCTCTATCTATCTATAGGCTCCATGGCGAAATAGGAGACCCCCGCCTCACTCCAAGCAGTCTGAACGATTAGGTAGTGGAAAAATTACTAGAAAAATTTGTTGGTAAAGAATTGAGTAAAAATAATTTTGTACATTTTTTAATGAAAAAAGATAAATATTTACGTGACGAAAACACCGACACTCGTGCCGTGTGCCTTACTCATTCAATCAAAGGTAAACATTTGCAAGAATTCAATATTATTTGTTACGTGTCGTAGGTTGCGGAACTTGACCTTAAGACCACGTAGCGTAATTATTTATAATAATATTGCACAGTAAGCGGATGAATAAATTTAATTATTGGAACTGGATCAACCTCATTTACTTATTACCTATTATTCGACGTTGTACTAACACGTGGAATAGTAATTATTTATATTTCTTAGTATTTCTACAAACTGCATGTTGTGTTGTTAAAGGAAATGTGACACCTAATCTTAATCATATTGCGCAGGTGACTTTTGTAAATGATTCACACCTTTGTTTATATGCATATGAAATAAATTATCGTGGCTTGTATCTCGAGATGTAAAAATAAAGGAAAACGTATAAAACACAAAGGGGGGCCTGGAATGGTTGTTAATTTCATAATCTTAACACAAACATTCGCTTAACACAACATAAAAGAGATAGTAGAAAATAAATAATTATTCATTATTTAATCATTTCGTATTTGGCTTGAGGGAGCACCTAGAATCGAGTCGTGTAACAATATTGATTAAAATTTACGTTTTTCAATCTTTAAGCAGATAAAAAAAAACCTTTAGATTGTTGGAATGCAAACATTTTTTGTCAGTGGTGTATCGCAAGAGTCAACTATGTGACCAATGTTTTTTTAAATTTTTTTTTATATTAAAATTGTGCCTGTCGAAATATAATCTTGTAATTATTACCTAGAACCGAGCCTAGAACAGAATAGGTAAATGTAGGTCATATTTGAGAGGCAATTGAGGCACTACTGTACTTTATTATGTGCTATTCACAGAAACGATAATCTAATAGAAATAACCGGGAATAACGATGCATCGTTGCCTCTAAACTCTAATTGCCGTTTCTGACACCCCTTCGAGCTACAAGAAGCAAAGTAATAAATTAGAATAATCGCAAATTTAGCTTGGCGTATTCTACGCACCTTAATGTGATAATGTACTTTGTTTAATAAAAGGGGAATTGGAATTAGTTTCGTGAACGGTAACCCCTTTTTTTCTAAATTACGATGAACGCAGTTATTAGGTAAACTAATTAGGGCAATTTAATATTCTTTCATTACGCGCTAATAAGTGAATCACATACCAAATTCCTTCAGAATTAAAAGTTACATATTCTACAAGAATCTTGCGGGAAAATATCGCCGACGTATTGTTCCTTCGATTCATTAGGAACTTTCTGCCGGTCATTCGTGCCCTCGTTCGTACCCCTTTTATAAATCGCAGAGATCTCAGCAATGGAATCTGGATTATATCGTAAAGCCCTGGAGTTTTCGACAATAAATAGAGCTGTATTATTATTTTTGCATTCGCTTGAAAGCTATTGGGAAATACTCGGAGAAATATGTATTTTGACCAATCCTGCTTTGGTCAATTCGAAATGTCGCCTGCTGTCGTCCCCAACCTTCGAAATTAAATCCCGTCTAGTTCCCCACTTGTCCCTATAACAGAGTGATTTTCTATTTCATCAGCTAATTTTTCCCGAGACTTTTACTCTGACTAACCGAAAAGATCCTCATAATATTATTGATATTAATCCACAACCGTATTCCTATGTATTCCAACCCCGTTCATTAATTCCTTATTCCCGTAAACCAGAAACCAGAATTACTTTTTTTTCGTTTATCTCCCATTCACCAGATATCTTTCAGTTTCATTCATCTTCTCCCCAGACTTCTGTTACCTACTACTGCGCTTAGGACGATAGATCTGACTCAAACACGATTGTCACAGCCCCCTGTGGTTTCCGCAAGATTCAACATGGGCTCTTCACAAGGGATGTTTGAATCGCTCGGAAGACTCCTTTTAAGGGACGTTAACCAAGTAAAGTCTAGCCAGCCTTATTTGGAAACCAGAAAGCGAGCCAGAAAGGCATCACAATATTTGGTTATAAGGAAAACTAGGGTCCGCGTTATTGTTATAGAACCCTGTGTAGTACCTAAAATAATTCCGGATTGTACCTACCTGTTCACCGTCGTAAACAGTTAATTGAGTACAATTAATTCCGACATTTGACAGCGGCATGAAAACAGTTGACGGTGTCTACACAATCGATCGTCCGTTCCTGACCAGAAGATGCAACTAAAGGTTGCCCACCTTGTATTGTAGTACCACATTTATTATACTAATTATACTAATTAATTCAAACAGCCGGCCTGGGCTCCCGAAGGCAAAACCCAGCACAGCTTACACTGTTTTTGACACAATTTTTCATCAAACATTGTATTGACATCCCAATGATTGCTACTTTCAAAATTAAACCTAAAACACAAACCAAGTAAAAAATATGGCAACTTTCAATGTAAGTTCATATTTTCATCACTACAACTTCTGGTGGAGGCAGCACTCTCAAAATGCAGCATTTTCGAGACCCTTTTATTATTGTTATTTATGCATTAATTTTCTTGGGACAAAGACCAAACTCGATTGCCCGATATCCAGCGTGATCATATGTATTTTTTGCGACCAAAATGTTTGTACTCAAATCTTATCAAAATTGTTGTTTATGTACCAATTTTGTGGAGCAAAAGATCAAACTCGATTGCTCGATATCCACGAAGTGGTCCATGTGAATTTTTGGCGACCAAAATATTTGTACGCAAAAGATGCCAAAATTGTTACTTATGCGCCAATTTTCTTGGGAAAAAGACCAAACTCGATTGCCCGATATCCAGCGTGATCCATATGTATTTTGGCCGACGAAAATGGTGGTAAACAACAATTGTTATTTATGCATTGACATCACCAATAAACGAGTCAATAAATAAGTCTCGTCCTGACGTTGCACGTATGCACGTTTTGCTTTCAAAAACAGCAGTTGCGGAAATAATTCATGCCCCCCCCTTAACACTCCGAAATTTGATGGCTGTCTCGCAGACCTTCAAGGTATAGGCTACCTATTCCAACCAATTCAAAGACTCTAGGACCATTCCCCTAGATCTAGAAGAAAACGACAGAAGTGAGTGCGGGCGGACGGGCAACACCGAGGGCAACACGAACACCGAGACGAAAACAATAGCGCATTTTTTTAAATAAAGACAATGTGACTGATCGCATCACTTATTGCTTTCCCGACAAAATTCTTTACCGTGTTTTGCTTCACTGATGGAACATCCTGTATATTTTATTCTAAAAAGATACAATATTAATTCTAGTTTCAAAACTATAACACTAACAAGTTCAAAAATATTCAATTTTGGTTCAAAAGGTTGCATGCAATATTTTTAAAAAAATCCTCGAAAAAATCTTTTGATTTTTTTTGTATTTTTTTTAATTATGTGCATCGTTTTTAAATTTTTTTTAATTACCTACTTGAATATTTTTTGAATCTTTTATTTTTGAAAATAGAATTAATTGTGTTAGATTAAATTTACAAGGTGTTCAATTTAAAAATGAGTTTAGGTCCGATTACTTTTTTAACTGACTGTATACTTATTCTAAAAACGGCAGATTATTCAACAATCTTAGAGAAAATTTTACAATAAGTAAATATTTTTCCTAGCGTTTTTCTCTTTAAAGTAAATTTTACATATTTCGAAAAATCCAGGGCAAATTGACAATTTTTCCCATTTTCAAACTAACAATTAAATGGGACACCGTGTATATCAAATTCATTATGATTTTGAATGGCACTTTTCCCACGAGTATAGTCTCATTTCTTGTTGAACTGTCAATATCTACAAATTATTATGTTATCCTCGTCCTCGATGTTATCATTATGTACACAGCGGCGCAGGTCCCCAACTTCCTTGGGTCCTTGTTCTACGGGACACATGGGCCGTTAATTACGTCTCTGGCAAAGTAAAAAAGAGAAATGCTATTCAGTACGGTTGTAAGAATTGTTAATTGGCTATGATTCTTCGTCATGGCAACGAAAAAACAACAAGCGCTAAAGAAATGTCAGCTTTTGTTACCATTTGTTAATTACTAATCGAGTTACTAATAATAATTATGCCCGACCCATTAAATTATACAGGGTGTTTAGTCTTAGTCTTAACATTGATGTCAAAATGATAATTACTGAAATTCGCGCACTGGACCGGTATAGTTCGTTTATCTCGGTTTATCGTTAATGTTTTTCGTTCCTGTCTCGGTTCCTGTAAACAGTAACAATTAATTTTGTGTATGTAAATAAATCACGTAATTAAAATTACCTATTCTCGCAGTGTTACTACTGCGAGAGCTACTGTCAAATTTTCAAAATATTCGGTGCCCAATATAGATAGTAGTATTTGTCTCTAACGCATCCTGATTGCATTCTTTCCTTCGATTTGATTAAGACTATCCCGTAGGGCGTGGAGAAGGGCCCGCTGGGATTTTCCTGACACCCCCCTGCCTAATCCGACCCTGTGCTCAGTGTATTAAATGAGACCCAACTTTGGTTATTTAAAAATTATGAGTAAAATGTCGATAAATAAATACTTATTGTAGATAAAACAATCAAAATTATTGACATAAATAAACAAATTTGATTTATTTCCAATAGTACATGGATAATTTTTCTAGGTACGAATTAGGAAGAAACCTAATTTAAAGGAACATCGCGCGCTGTTAATTACAATCATGTAAAATGAGTGTTGCCAATTAAAATTTATTAGGTAATGTTTTATTATTGACGTCAATCTAAATATGGACCTTACCTAGTCTATTCAAATTCATTTAATTAAAACCAATTACCTAAAACCGGAACTTCCCTCGCCGCAAATATGAGAAAAGTTGGAAAACTATTTACGAAAGGTGGCACCTATTAATAAATAAGTAATTAATTATTGGCATTTTGGCGAAAGCCTAACCGGGGGAGAGGTCTCGGCAAATAAAATAAACAATTTATAAACTAGGTAAATAAACAAACAGAGCAACCTGTTTGGATTGACGACAAACGGGAACGGATTTCATATACACAAAACGCGTAGAGGTTAGGAAATTGGAGGGACCACACGTCTTTTGACAAAAAAGCTATAAAACAGCACCTGATTTTAATATTTACATTATAAACATAGGAGGTTATCTAGGCGAGATAGAATAGAGCAGAAGGTGCAAAAAAAGGTAAATCTAGGGCTATGTGAGTCACCAACCTTAATGCAGAATTAAAGCCCTTCTCCATATAAATGTTGACACATTTTTTTAAATACACCACTTTTATTACACTAATCACACTAATACACTTTACAACTTAAATAATAACGATATCTACAACATTAACGTGCCAAATATGTAGTCTTTCCGTCTCGCTCACTACATTTGAACCGTACATGACATTGCCTGATTCACGTTTACAACGGCAATTGGCGATAGAGATGGAAGAATTGAAAGACATAACCGTCGTTAACTGTCATGCGCGGCATCTCCACGTAAATTGTGGAAGTGATCGAACGCATTGTCGCGTTTATACCGCAACTTACTGTAACGAATTTCTTTTCTTGCAATTCACGTTTTTGTCATTACTGAAAAATCATTGTAGAATTTGTAATAAATCCTTGGAATGTCGTTAAAACTCGATGTAAACAAAGTTGATCGACATAAAATTGGTTATGTTAATAAACAATCCTTAAGATGGCAGCACCAAATAAAATTTCGTCTACCCTTTGAATATAATACAATGCGATCAAATATGAGTTGCTGTCTAGTCACCTTTGGAATTTTTGTTTACATGGTAAATCGTACTTAACTTGAACTTCCAAAGGCGACTCGACAGCAACTCATTTTTGATCGCCCGTTAGTATATTATATACCGAGGGACTAAAGTGTGTTTTAACCCCGAGAGTGCAGATTGTTGCCCAAAACGTAGTTGAGCACCCGAGGGATTAGGACGCACTTTAGTCCTGTGGTATATACGCTATTTTTTGTACTCCGGTAATCAGCTATGGCAATTTCAATGTTAAAGTGCAAATTTGAAAGACAAAATTTGATTGATTGTAGGATCAATATACCTGGTAATGTCAAATTCAGTGGCGTAACTAGGTAGGTGCCAAAAGTGCCGCGACACCGCGCTCTGAAGGCGGGAGGGCGCGTCGGAGGCGCTGAAGCACCGAGGGCACTAAGTCGAGATGGGCAGTACGTGGTGTACCGTATAGGCCAGTCATAAAAGACAAGAACGGCAGTTAAATTCTAATAGTTTGCTACAGACGAATACAGGGTGCACTGAAATATAATTAAACCTAAATTTACGGTCCTTTAGGATGAACGGAACATCCAAGGGATTTCAGCGCATTTTTGTGTGGCAGATCAGTACTTTTATTAGCCAGCCCCCACAGACGCCGGATGTATACAAAGTTTGAATCAAAACACTTGTACCACGCTATGTTAAGTGCCTCAATATGTTGAAAAACAGCCTAAGAGTGTAGCTTCCAAATGTATATAATAAAAATTGTTTCTTACACTTTCTTAATTTTATATTTCAAAACGTCTGTTACTTTCTGAATAGCCCTTGTAGAACAAAGTTACAGCGGTAGGAAAAGGCTGCAAATTTAAACTAATAATAATAATACTTTATTTGTGATCTATACAATAGTCTGTATTAGTGTGACCAGCATTTGCACGCAATCATTTATACGACTTGTGCCCCATTCCATAGCTAAATTTGACGTGAGAATTGAAAACATTATGAATAAATGTATTTCTATTCTTCGTTGAGTGAGACTTCATTATTCAAAGCATTTTTCTAAAATATAAGTAGGTAGTGCAGTGCTTTTAAAATTTCGTGTAAAGTTTCTCTCAAAAATGTACAGTGTTCTATTAATTAGAGCTCAATGGTAAGTGATAAGGCGCCAAAACCTGATCCGGCACCGCTTGGAAAAATACCTAGGTACGCCACTGGTCAAATTGTGACCGTATAACGATAAATGTCAGTTTGATTTAAAGATTCTAGTTTAAAACTACGGCGTACAAATGATCGTTTAAAACTCTGAAGAACAAGCTATAAGGAAACCTACTGCCTTCCAAATTCAAAAAGATATATGGAAAACGGTATAATAAGTGTAAAATATGGTGCAAGAATAAATATGTACAATACAGGTAACCATTAATCATTAAATTGTTTTTGACAATTCAGTGTGTACTGTCACTTTTAGTCCCGCGTCGTGTTTTTCTCCCTCCGGGAGAAAAAATTGCACTTTAGTCCCTTAAATGAATGACAAAACACGTTGATTTAGTCGACGGAGTACAAAAAATTTTATACTCAAAGCTTTGAACACTGCAAAAGCCCACATTATGGCTACAGGCCACAATCGGCCTTATTCTGGAGCTTCTTGAAAATCTTGTCTTGTAGCTAGCAGAGCAGAAATCGACATAGGTACCTACTATAAATACTGCCTACAGGAAAAATAGCATATTTTGGAGGCAAAATATTATGTACAATTGTTTGCGCTGCAGCGAATGAGACCATACCATTGTTTAAACAATGACCATACCCATACCATTGAATTAATTGGTAGTTATAAATTCAATGCCCATCATACTTATAGGATAAATATTGTGCAAGATCTTTTTGTTGATTTCAAGTCAACAGTGGGATTTAATCAGCAAAAACAATTGGAAAACTTTTACACTATAAGTATGTATGAGTGTTTAGTTGTTAATATTGTAACTTAAATTTAATTATGTGTTTTATTTATTACAACTAATTAACAATAAATTTATAACAGTCTTAAAATGGATTAATTTATAACAACAATTATCACTTAGAATTTATAACGTAACTAAAGCTCATCGAAGTTGGAACTGACTGAAATATGCTACAATTTGTTTATATATAATAAGCGACAATTGTTCTAGAATGTACTTAGAACGATTCGGAATATTCTACAATAAACACGTCATTATCCGCCTTCGTTTTTATCGCCGATGAATAATCTTTCATGGCGCCTCGATGTCTATCGGGATTTCTTGAAGGTTCGCTACAATATTAAACTACGTCTTCTACGAAATCAATTTTATTTTAATAATAGAGCGCGACAAAAATAGGTGACGAACGATTGTGAGAGAGAAAGAGATATTCAATTTTGTCGGCACTTACCAAGTGCCACTTTCGAATTTTTTTTGTTCTGTTGGGTCGAAAATAAGGGCAATTTATAAAGTTCTTTGTTTCCTTAAGTAGAATTATTTATGATCATTTGGCATTGTTAGCATATTGCAGTGCAGTAGAATGACTTTCGTTAGATGGAACACGAGTAAATGACGCATAACTCATTCGTCTATTTTCGATTGGCCTTGAATGCTCCGTTGGTTCATATGTCCACAGACATCTTGGAAACATTTTTAAATGTCTCATATCTAAAATGTATTTGTCCCATTCCTACAATAGAATTCATGCAGATTGAATTATCCAAAAATATAAATATACCTGGAAATCCACCACCGCAGGAATTTCCACCGCATGTTTTTGAAAGGGTGCATTAATTTTAGGGGACGCAGCTCCTCTTTCCCAAAGACGCTTCAAACGCTTCTTGGTAGTAGGATCTGCTCCTCCTGCTCGCTTTGGTACAATCTCGCACCCTGCAGGCGTCCCTTTCTAAATTGTAATTTAGCCAATATCGCGATACAGACCAGGGTGCAAACCTCGAATTTGACAATGAATTTCTTCAACAATTTTCTAGACTTTAAATCCGCTTGAAAATCGTTCACTGCCGCTTTCCAATACTTATTTACTCCCACTATCTTTTTCAGCGTTTTCGCGTCGAGATAACCGAAAATTTTTTTCACAATCCAAATTGGACACAACTGAATCTGGAAACGAAGATACAATTCTTTTTCGCTTACCGATATGAACAAACCCAGTCTAACTCGCCGTCATCGTCATTCCCTTTCTTGGTCTTTTTTCCACCTTTCGTTTCTTTCCCTGTTTTGGTTTTTTTTGCACTTTTCCCTTTCTCTTTCTTGTTTTTCTTTCCATCTTTCGTTTGATCTGCGCCGCTTTTCTTGGGGAGAGGTCTATATTGTTTCATGGCGTCGTTCCAAATTTTTGTACATTGTTCCACTTCCATCTTGGCCGGATTTTCTTTATTTTGTGGACTGATGAGCATGTCGACCAGTGGCCAGTCGGAGAAACTTCGCGACTTTCGTCGATTAATCAGCTGGGCGGAATGTGATTCTCCTAGTCTTGTATTGGAGACCACCTCGTGGTAGAGGCTTACTCCTCGTCTGTATATCTGGTAAAGCACCGCTCCTCCTCCTAAGCGCAGTAAGCCTTCAAATATGTAGGTAGGTACTTATAGTGGATGGTGGATGTGATTGTGTTACCGCACTTACCAATCAGAATCATAGTTTGTTCTGATTCTTCGCTCAAATTTGCAAACCACTCTAAATCGGCATTTTGAACCTTTTTTAGTGTTGGAGTATGCATTGCTCTGTTATGATCATTTAATGATTTATCGTACACAAAATTTATGCTTGCTCTGGAAACTCAAATACTTACGAGTCGAGCATAAAATAAGGTATATAATGACGTACTCCAAAGAAGCATACGTATACGAACTTTCGTAAATGGTCATCAATAAGCTGAGTAACGTCGATAGTGAATTTATCGATTTTAACAAACGGAGCATTTCGGATAATGTTTTTACCTTCTCAATCCGAGAACATCGGATAAACCACCCTTGCATTGCATTGAATCGAGTCATTAATTGCGTTACATACTTTTTGGATTGAATGGCATTTTGCTCTAGGATCAAAGGAGTCACCGTCATAAAAGTCAACGATTTATCACTTACTCTGGCATGCAGACGAAGATATCGATCTGGTTTCTTCCAATTCGTTGAACATTCGAGTTGATGAGTGTATCATTCTGAACAATATTATCCAACTAAGGAAACTGACAATTTATTTTTTATCGTATAATATGACAAGCACACATGACAAACTGTTTCGGGTGGCTTGAGATCCTAGGCGATTCCTCTCTCTCCCTCTATGACTACTGGAGGTTCAACTCTGGACTGCTATAGCCCTTTTGACAGATTTAATTCATTTCAAAATTAGGCTTGTCGAACCAACTGATAAATTACTACGTCTGGGTGTCTGTCTTAACATGTAAAATGATTTAGTTTTTAGGGTCACGAGACAATTGTTTACAAGAGAATAGCAAACCCATGTTTTGAAATGAAGCGAACCAAATTTGGGCGGTTTAAATCTTATTTATTGGTAACCGCACGGGTTTGAGAAAGTAGATGACCTGTGGATGGGGCTCTTTTACCGCATCATTGTATAAGTCGCTTAAGGTCTGTATGTTTTGCTTCATTTCAAATCATGGACGAATAACTAATGGTCTGACCAACCCCCTGATGGCCATATAAATGTTAATCGTTTCCATAGGCTATCATTTCAGGATTGCATTGCATGGTTGAAGGCTATAGGGCTTAATTTTTTTGAAGTTACTACTTATTATCGCACGGTATATGCACTAAAAGTTTTGGACGGGAGTAAAATCTCCTGCAAATATAGCGCTTCTATATATTCTGTGGTCGTCATGCGTAACGCTTGGTAGCCGACGCTCTCACAATTGTTTAAATTACTTCTTCAATGCTAATGCATATACACATTTAAAGCATTATGTAATAGCGTCGGAGTAAATGAATGAATTTAAGTTTATTGTTAGTTTTGTATTAGTTTATCACTTTATAAGCGGTATTTAATATTTAATAGGGTGGTGCGTAGCGCAATTGCAAGGCCGCCGCCTTTCGAGTATGATGGTTCTAACCCGAGTGCGCGCGTTTTTAGCGCATTTTTGAAAAAAATACGCTATTATATTCGTTATTGCTGGCAGGCCGGCTGTCCGCGNTTACTCGTGAGATCGATAATTTTAAGCTTCGCTAATAAAATACTGACCTGCATTACCAAAAATGCGCTTTAATCATGTATATGCTGATTTACAACTTGTTTTTTCTATAATACCTATATGCGGCATGAGAGGAGTGTCAGAGACCAAGAAATATTCAATTCTGTCGGCACTTACCAACTGATGCCACTTTCGAATTTTTATAAATATGGCAAATTCTATCAGGTGCCTATACCTACTAGCGAATTTGATTTCAAGTCTAAACGACGGACGTTTAGCGGTATTTGAATGGCGGTAGCAGTCGGCTCTTTTATGTGTTGGGACATGAAACACAATCAGGAAGGGAATTGAATAAAATGCAGAATTTGGTGCGTAAGAAAAGGCATGAACAAATAAGCTATATTACGCACACAACAAGGGGATACCAGGAACGTCTTTTATGGACAAAAAACCTGGCATAACCCGCAAATTCACGAAATAAATGATCTACGACAACAAAATGCAAAAGATAAATACATAAATCAAACATCTCAAATTGTATCGAGTCAAATAACGGTAAATCCACACAAGAGGGATTACACAATTGAAAAACAAAAACACATTACATAAATTTACGATCAATTTGGCAAATTGTATGTACATAAAAAACATCAAAACGGCGTGACCCTAGTCCAGCCTTCTGCGTGTAGGTATACATAAATAAATACTTAATAAACAATGTAAAGGTATAATCACCTGTGTACTATAACAAGGAATTCACCTTTCATTAGAGTACCATGAAGGATAAAACTAGTTCCAGTCCCCCCCTCCCCCTTCCCCTCCACCCCGTACTTTGGTAGAAAACGGTTTCTTTCGTTGAGACTTTTAATTAGAAAACAATGAGAGACAAAATTAATTTTTAACCCCCCCCCCCCCTCCCCCAAGGCCCCGTCGCTCACTGATCTCGTAAAGAGTCGCACGAGAAAGTTATACTTTGTACAAACCAATTATTTCGATGAGACCATTACCCCCCCCCCCCCCCCCCATTTTCTAAAGTTTAACTTGGCACCACTAAAGGCATGCGTATGCAAAATATGAGACCAATTGGTTATCGTATGTAAAAGTTATGCACGTTATGCACAAAGACTGGTCCCCAAATTTCGTTGAAAGCAGAATTTTTTTCGCATCCCCATTTAGAGGCGAGCCTTTTCGAACCGAACGGAAAGGGAGTACCCCAAAACCTGTTCAAAAACGTGCTTTGTAACTCTATGGTTGCTGAAGAAAAACAAATGCAAATTTCACCACTTTTTTGAGGGTGGGTCCCAAACAAAACTCGTTGGACTCTCGGTTTATTTGGAAAAGTGCTAGTTTTGATCCTCTATACCACCCAATTTTTTTTACATACTTAGGTACCTATGTCATGTAACACCCTGTATATCAGTATTTTACGCAAAATGTAAATATAATCACAAACTGTGACATGAAATTCAATGCCCAATGGTTAATAGTTAGTACAAGAAAATGAAATGATTACCACCTAGTTTACTACCTGTAAATACACAAAATAAATAAACATTAGACCCGCCATTACTCAAACCCATCTCCGCATTGGAATTGGAATACCGTTACTTGACGCTAACTTTCTCCCCAAGCTTCGATATTAAAATCCCCTGATCATCGGCACCTACGCAGAACGGCTGAAAAGTGAAAACGTAGCACGTTTTGTCCGTCCGTCTGTACGGTTTTGAACTACTTTTAGGGGATTTGTCCTAAAGGCCTGGAACTTTTTGCAATAGGTTACCTACCGGGAAGGTGTGCCAGACGGCTTTCAAATTTATTTATTTTCCATAAACATATTACATATTTAGGTTTAATTGAAACTTCTTTGTCATCTTTTCAGTTTACGCGTTCGTTTCACCTCTGTCAACACTCAACTGCCTGTCTTTTACTTTCCTTTTCTTCAGCAGTAGTGGCAACTATTTCCTTCCTTTCTTGCTGTTTTTGATTCTATTATCTGTTTTCGGTATTACTTGGCAAGTTTTAGCGAAGATTCCAGAAATCTCGATAGACATCGAGGCGCCATATATATAAGATTAGTCATCGGCGATAAAGAACGAAGATGTGACGTAATCTTTCCGAGAAATATGACGTGTTCGAGAACGTTCTAGCTAGAACAGTCGGATGCGTTCGAGATCTTTCAAGAAAGAGGGGGCGTTTGTTGTATAAGCAAATCGAATTGCGTTTCATGGAGTTCTAATATTGACGCCGAAATAATAAATAAAAATAATATTTTACTGTTAGAGATTCAGTATGATGCCGATTGACATTTTTTCAGTACCTTGTATTACAAAAAAAAGAAAATGGGTGACTGTCAGCTTTGCATGAAAGAGATTAAGAAAAAAATAAGAATCAATAGTAATAAACAAACTTCAGAAAAACTTTGTAGAGTATATTTTTGGTCTACAGGAAGCTCACATTACTAACAACGAAATAACAATACATTGCCTACATGCCTATTTAAAAATGATCTACATTAAAAACCTAACAGCCATCAATTCGTGTATAAATATTTTAATCTGATTTCTCCACTTCTTGTTTTCTTAAATACTTGCAGTCGTCAATGATAAAACTGTAAGCATACTTCTAATACTGAAATGTGAATAGTTGCAAAACTTACCTATAAAATAAGATGGTCAAAGGGGCACTTGATAAGTGCCAGAGAGCGTGAAAATCATAAATAAAAAATAACGGCGGTTGATCAATTAGTTCCAGGAGGGTAGAAAGTGCACCTAGCGTAACAAATACAGCACATTTCCACGTGTAGGGTTGTCGTTTCCTATTCCACGCACACCAGGCAAACCAACCAAAAGCAGTCATGGCACCTGAAATTCAAGAAGAGAATTTTTGTGATCCAGAACTATAAATTCATTACCAACTGCAAGATTGAGTTCCATATTATATGCGTAACTAAATCTTCCCGTACTCAAATATGCAACATGATTAAAATAAAATGCTAGAAATATTGCCGTGAGAACCATCAGCAATGTCTGAGAAGTATTACGTAAAATTCTAAAACAGCATAGTTCACGATACTGAGTGCCAGAAAGTCACATACAAACCGCATACACATGCAATAACAAGACATTAAAACAATCGAGAATGCGCATGAATAATCCATCAGTTCTGTAAATGGGAAGTCTCGAGCATGGAAGACACCTGACCAAAACCATGCATTTATGCAGATCTAAAACTGGAGACATTACCACTTCACAAATATACGAATTAAAGGCTAACCAAGCAAAATATATGCCACAAGGTGTAAGTTGGACTATCCGACTGCACCTGGAACCGAAATTTTCTAATCATTTTAATGTGAATGTATAAATTAAGTAAGGAAAAAGCCACCGATGCCGGTTCCTGCATTCCAAAAAGTCGGATAAATGGCCACTGAAAACAAATGCCTCTGTATTTTGTTACAATTGAAAAGATGCCACACCTTGCCATGGAATTGAGGAACATTCCACTTTCTTTTATGGAATGCGAAGACCGTCTGCCACATGCAATCGTACTGGCATTCATCGTTACAAGACCACTGGGTAACTTTTAAAATGATTGATTGCTGTTTGTCGTCGGTGAAGTGTAAACCGTCTAAAAGGTATAATTATATCAACAAAAAACATCGCACCCTAACCCTAGTTTACTAACCTTCGGTACAATTTAGTAAATTACACCTTTCCAGGCATTTTTGATAAAAAGGTGAGCTGTCGCCTAATGATTGAGTTGAATAAACTATAAAAAGACACAAGAATACTATTTGAGTTATTAAATACATTTTCAATGTATAATTATAAGATGTAAATAGACCCTTTCCACGCTCATGGTTGTTGCCATAGCAACGGCTTCTTTTCTTTGGGAAGTGGAGATCGAATTTCGACCTTCAGAGAGCAGATCTCAAGGTCCCACTACACTACGTAAAGGTAGCGCAATTTTCATTCAAACCTTTAAAAGTAATACGTTGCAAAGGTTTTTTGCAAAGCAAAACTGCAACAATTAATTTAATTGCAGGGCCCAGGCTCCAGTGGCGTAGTAAATATTCTCCTTGCAATTTTCCTACATCTATATCAGCGGTTCTTAAATTATGGTACGCGTACCACTAGTAGTCATAACCTCAGGGCAAGAAATAACTTGTTCTGAGGTTATATCCTAGTACGAAGACTAAATAATAGCAACCGGGATTAATAGAATAAATCAATATAAATTTTGGTAAAGTACAATTCTTTATTAAAAATAAATATGGGTTCCCATTGTAATCCCCGGCGTGACCCCTATAAGTGGCAGAAACAACTTTTTATGAGTACAGTTTACGATAAAACACGACTCAGACGCACTACTTTTTATGAATTTCTAGACCAAGTCTATAATGTTAAATGCTGTAAGAAGAATAAGCTTTAATTTGCCTCTGGCTACAAGACAAAAGTACCAACGTACTCACACTACATTTCTTTCGAACGACTTCTAGTCATTAGCTTTTTAAATTCCTTAACACTATTTAGAACTACTTCAACACCTTTAGCAACATCTTTCATTATCTTTTCCTTTTGTTTACTCATCTGGTCACTTTTATGTTTTCTCTTATGGCCGCTCGTACATGACGTAGAACAACCCCCGCAGTATTCAGGTTTTTTTGAACCATCGCTTCGCCTATGACTATGCTGCTTTGAATTGGCTCGTTTCTCCGGAACGCGTAGTAAAATATCATACGCCTGCTCCAACTCGTCCATCTTTCTCGTAAGATCCGCTACAACGTCATCGTTAACATCATCGATCTTCGACCATGTTTTAATAAAATTGTCTACATTACTAGGCAACCAATCCTTTAACTCCCGATCAGTGTGAACGTAAACTAAGCTTTGCGACTTGGACGGGCCATTACCCACAATTTTACGGGAGCCGTTCCTCCAGGAATGTAAGGATGCAGAGATTTTGGGGCTTGGCATGGTGGTCGAACATGCAGCAACTGCAAGATGTTTCTCAGTTTGGCGACTAAGATTCTGTAACTTCTTTGCAGGGCAAGGTATTGAAGTGTGTCCCGATACTTCTTTCAGGTGTATCGTTTCTTTTCCCGAGCGATTATTTGTTTTTCTCTCACTTGCCGTTAATAAATCTCTGTGTACCTTTGGCAAGGATTCTTGGACATGGCCCTTTGCAATTGTGTCTTTGAACTGTGAGTGTTGAGTAACGCTGCTCTTAGGGATTAATGATTTTAAGGTTTGCTTCGACATTGAGCTGTTAATTGATTTACTTTCACTTCGATTTGGATCTTTGGGGTTCTTATCCGACAAATCTTGGATAGATTTGCTCTTTGGCATTGATGATCTAATATTTCTTAAACTTTGTCTCGAGATAGTTTCTATGTTATTTTTTTCATTATTGGGACAGGCAATTTTTATCGGTTCGTTCCATGAGTCTCCTTTAAGAGTGCTTCTTCGCAAACATTTAAATGTTCGTCGCGAAGCGTCTTTCACATTAGTGGGCTCGACCATTGCTGTTGGTAACTTCTCCTGTGCTTGGTTTTCCCATGCACCTTGGTTCACGTTGTTCTTTGCGATTGAGGATCTCAAATCTCTCAAATTTTGATTTGGGGCATCTTTTAAACTTGTTTCTGCACCATTAGAACAGTCAGCTTTTTTTGCTTCACGCTCACGATTCTCCCATGAATCTCGACTAACGTTGCTTTTTCGGATTGAGGACCGAATAATTCTCAAAGTTTGCCGAGGGGAATCTTTTAAATTACTTGGCTCGTTATTGGAATAGTCGGTTGTTTCCTGTGCCCCATGCATTTGACCGTGCATTGAATCTCGGCTAATGGTGCTTTTTGAGAGCGATGGCTTAAAATCTCTCAAAGATTTTCTTGAGAAATTGGAGCTGTCAACTTCCGTTGCCTCACTTTCCCGATTGTCCAATGAATTTTTACCAACGTTGCTCTTTCGGATTGAGGACCGAAAGTCTCTCCAAGTTTGTCGCGAGGCATCTCTCAAACTTTGTCCTGAGACACTTTTTAAACTCGTTTCTGATTTATTGGAACTGTCAGCTTCATTTGCTTCACTCTCTCGATTGTCCCATGAATCTCGGTCGGTGTTGCCATTTCGGATTGAGAACCTAATGTTTTTTAAAGTTTCCCGAGAGGCATCTTCCAAATTAAAGGGTTCGTTATTGGGGTAATCAATTGTTTCGCTATCAGTTTCCTGTGCTTCACTCATTCGCTTTTTCACCGAGCCTCGGTTAATCTTGCTCTTTGCAATTGAGGACCTTAACTCTCTTAAAGAGTGTCTTGAGACGTCTTTTAAATTAGTTTCTGAATTACTGGAGCAGTCAGCTTCCTTTGCTTCACTCGGTCGATTATCCCGTGAATCTCGGCCATCGTTGCTTTTTCGGAATGAGAACCGAATGTTTCTCAAAGATTGTCGTGAGGCATTTTTCACAGAAATGTGTTCATCCACTGCCGTGGTTACATTCTCCGGCGCCTTGTTTTCCAATGAATCTCGGCCAACGTTGCTTTTTCGGATTGAGAACCGAATATTTCTCAAAGTTTGCTTGGAGGCCTCTTCTAAGTTAATGGGTTCGTTATTGGAGTAGTTAGTTGTTTCGCAACCATTTTCTTGTGCTCCACTCATTTGCCTTTTCACAGAGCCTCGATTGCTCTTTGAAACTGATGACCTTAAAGATTGCTTTGAGGTATCTTTTAAACTGGTTTCTGAATAATTGGAGCAGTCAGTTTCCTTTGCTTCATTCTCTCCATTATCCCGTGAATCTCGGCCAACGTTGCTCTCTCGGATTGAAGACCGAATGGTTACCAAAGTTTGCCTGGAGGCGTCTTCTAAATTAATGGGGTTGTTATTGAAGTAGTCAATTGTTTTGCTATCATTTTCCTGTACTCCACTCATTTGCCTTTTCACCGAGCCTCGGTTTATATTACCCTTTGATGACTTTAAATCTCTTAAAGATTGTCTTGCGGCATCTTTTGAATTTGTTTCCGATTTATTGGAACAGTCAGTTTCTTTTGCTTCATTCGCTCGATTGTGCAATGAATCTGGGCTAACGTTGCTCTTTCGGATTGAGAATCGAACGTTTCCCAAACTTTCTTCTAAATGAATGGGTTCGTTGTTAGAGTAGTCAATTGTTTCGGTATCATTTTCCTGTGCTACACTCATTTGTCTTTTCACTAAACCTCGGTTTATCTTGCTATTTGCAATTGACGACCTTATATCTCTTAAATATTGTCTTGAGGCATCTTTTAAATTGGTTTCTGATTTATTGGAACAGTCAGCTTCTTTAGCTTCATTCTCTCGATTGTGCCATGAATCTTGGCCAGCGTTGCTCTTTCGAATTGAGAATCGAATGTTTCCCATAGTTTGTCTAGAAGCATCTTCTAAATTAATGGGTTCATTATTTGAGTAGTCAATTGTTTCGCTATCATTTTCTTGTATTTTGCTCATTTGCTTTTTTACCGATCCTCGGTTATTCTTGCTCTTTGCAATTGATGACCTTAAATCTCTTAAAGATTGCCTTGAGGCATCTTTTAAAACGGTTTTTGAATTATTGGAGCAGTCAGCTTCGTTTACTTCACTTTTCCGATCCCATGAATCTTGGCCAACGTTGCTCTTCCGAATTGAGGACCGAAAGTCCTTCAAAGTTTGTCGCGAGGTATCTTTCACTTTAATGGGTTCGTCTACTGCTGTGGTTACATTCTCCTGGGCCTGGGTTTCCCATGAGCCTTGGTTTACGTTGCTTTTTGCGATTGAGGACCTAAAATCTGTCAAACCTTGTTTTGAAGCATGTTTTAAACTCGTTTCTGAACTATTGGAGAACTCGGCTTTCTTTGTTTCACTCTCTCGATTATGCCATGCATCTCGACCAACGTTGCTCTTTCGCATTGAAGATCGACTGTTTCTCAAACGTTGTCTCGAGATATTTTCTAAATTAATGGGTTTGGCACTGGAGTAGTCGATTGTCTTACTATCACCTCCCTGTGTTGTATTTGTCTGCTTCTCTAAAGAGCCTCGGTTAAAATTGTTACTGACTGAAGATTGAAAGTCTCTCGAGATATTAGTTGGCTCCTGCTTTAAATGGTCGCCGGTTGTGGTTTCAGATTTCCGAGCCAGGTTTTCCCATAATTCTTCGTTTACGTTGCTCTCTGCGGTTGATGACGTAAAATCTCTCAAACCTGGTCTTGAGACATCCATCAAGCTCATCTCGGGATTATTGGCGCAATCATCTTTCTCCGCTTCACTCTTCTGATTGTCCCATGAATCTCGACCTGCATTGCTCTTTCGCATTGAGGATCGAAAGTCCCTCAAAGTTTGCTTAGATGCATCTTCTATATCTATATTAATAGTTTCTCTATCGGAATAGTCCATTGAATCTTGGTTAAGTTTCCTTTTTGCGACTGATAATGAAAAATCTCCCAAAGCTTGCATTGAGTCATCTTTTAAACTTGTTCCGGCATCATTAGAGTAGTCAGCTTCCTTCACCTCGCCTTCCCGATTATCCCATGAATCTCGATCAGCATTGCTCTTTCGGAATGAGGACCGAAAATCTGTTTCTCTAGGGACATTTTTTAAATTACTGGGCTCGTTATTGGAATAGCGTATACCAGCTTCCTGCGTTTCACTCGCACTCGTTTGCTTCTCCATCGACCCTCTTTTATCGTTGTTGTTTAAGATCGAGGCAGGAACGAGGTCGTTATTCAAATATGTTGTACTTTCACTTTCCCGACCCTCATTCTCCCACGATCCTTGGTTTCCATTGCTCCTATCGATTGACGATCTCAAATCTCTCATAGATGCATCATTTTCATAGTCAATGCTTCCGTTACTCGGGCCATCATCTGTTTTCATGTTTTCATCTTTTGGATCTTTTTCTAAGTCGCTTTTGGGTATTGCTGATATGAATTCTTTTAAAGTTTTTCTGGGGACATCTTTAAAATTAACGTCTTCAATTTCATCTGTCGTGGATTCTCTTACTGAATCCTCCCAAGAAATAACCTTTGGAGTTGCCGAACCGAGCACACTTTTCGTTTCGTTAATTCTAACGGCAAGTTTACCATTACTTTGCGTGTTTGAAAAATTACCATTTTCATTCACTGTTTCAACGGTTTGAGTAGATTTCGTACATGAGTCTTTCTTGTTTTTTTCAAAGGTTTGTGCGAATGTCTCTATTGGAGTTGAATTGACCGAAATTAAGGGCGGGTTTTCGTTTAGATCATTCGGTGGAGAAGAACGTGTGTTCTTTATTTTTTCGTTATACATATAAAGAGTTTGTTGCGGGACACTCGTTAACGCAGATGTTCGTTTTGGTGTAAAGCGTAAGCAAGTACCACAGACTTGCCTTGGATAATTAATGCAATTATTACAACAATTGCAATTTGGTCTGTTAGTATGCCGGAAGCAGCAAAAGGTATTGAACGGGGGTAAAATGCAAGTGGATGTGCCAATATTGTTGTTTTTTGGCAACGCAATGGCTTGGATTGGTGAAGCTTTTTTTGATTGAGGTGATGCACATTTGAACGAACACTTTTTCTTTAAAGGTATTTTACTGGGTTTCTTATGGGATTTTTGGGGCGGCTGTGAAGATAATTCGCTTTGAGCCGTTATGACATCACATTTCGAATGGTTCTTGCAGGTCTTTGACTTATGAGACTTCTCGCTTACATTCGGTGCCTCTACAATCAACTTGTAAAGGGAATCGAACTGTTTACTGGGCCTTTCTTTGCACTTGCTACAGCTTTTGGTGTCATCGTCTGAAGATATTACCAGAAAACTTGAAGGAAGGCCGTTGGCGGGTACATTTATGTAAACAACGCTATCCTTTTCTTCAATACGTACAGTTTTGTTTGAAGACGTCGGTTTCTGCGGCTTTGCGTTTTGGGGGCTTCTACTATTACACCATCGTTTGCGTCTACAAAGATAACTTAAAGGAGGATAGCAACACTCCCGACTCTGCCTGTACACGAACATTTGTCGCAATTCGTATACGAGATTTTCCAATTTATTGTAAATCTTTTGGTTTTCGCGATCCAAATTAAACGACTGGCTACTGCAGGAATTGCCTGTTAGAGTTTGGCTCGATTTCAAGTAGTCTTCGAAGGGTGTAAAGGTATCGGTTTCGTTACTAGTGGCGGGCATTGAATCATGAGATCTACCAGAATTGGACCAATTATCGCAATAAGATGAAGCATTCGATGTGGACACCCCCAAACCAGGCAAGTTGTGACGTGGGAGGGTTGTAAATTTTGCGCCACGAGTAAAGTTATCATTTGTTTGATTGGTCCACAAAGAGCTTGTAGTATTTTTCTTTTCATACGTTGGAAAATGAATTTCTCCATTATCACGACTAACAACATTTTCATCCACGTCATTCCGGTTGACATTCAAGAGTGATCTTGAAATTATAAAGGACTTAATTAATGTGGGTGGCGGAGTTGGCTGTCTTTTAGTAGTTAGCAACGAACCATTACTCTCCAAAGAAGAACCCCCACTAAATATCACACTGAGTGTATCATGTGTTCCTGGTTTAGCTGGGCCTGCCTTCCACTGAGTTCCTAAAACAATTTTTATGGCACCAATGAAGAATGCGATCTATGTAAATAACGCACCCTTTTGAAATAATTTCCATTCTTTATTTTCTTCAGTAATTTTTTCTTTTTTCTTATAAATCGGAACACTACGGCCCCCTCCGTTATAAATTGAAGACCTTAAATCCGTCGGTGCTACACCACTGGTGAGTTGCCCTCTCAACGCGTACTTCGTTTTATTTGAAGGTATGCTGGTTTCTACATCATTGTCTTTGATTGTCGCAGTTTTTTCTAATTTTATGGCACTATTATCCCCTGAAGTTTCGGCTATGGGGTCATTACAGACAAACGTTTTGCTGCACATTTCGCGAATCAAGCAAAGAGTCGAATTACAGCGTCGCAAGTTAATTCCATCATGCTTTTCGAATAAATTTTTACAGAGCAGTGGAGTTATATATCCCACGCGATTTTCAGACAATTGTATCAATCCTAAAAAAGTAATTCCTTCATTGCCACATTCGTTCTTTTTTGCTGATATTAATTTGTCTATAACCGAATATATAAATAAATCTGATGAGTTTAAATTAACCATGGATTTGGATGTATTACTAATTTTGCCCATTTTCTACAGCTATAATTTTGACACGTGTCATACGGCATACGCGTTAGCACAAAATTCTGCCAGTCAAAATGTGAGATCCTTGAAGAATCAGTTGATTGATCACTTGACGAAATTGATCAAATAGTACATACTACAGAAAAGTGTGGCGCACTTACGATTATAAAAAGGAACATCAGGCTCTAAACACGAAGAACAGTCGAGGCAATATTCGGAAGAACACCGTTTCAAGCAATATTCTGTTGCAGCGCATCCATTGCACTTTTGAAAATGGACTGATAATGGTGGGTCACGTGGTTCTGATTGTTTGTGGACCATAAGTGTACAAACAGCTACAATTGGATTTCCAGACAGTCCACATGCGCCGCTTCGAATTTCTGACTTGGTAATCGCAAAAGAATTGTACAGCGCTTCATTGAGATTAAACACGTAATATTTTTTATTAATAATTTTCATTATTTTCTTTCACAAAAATTTTGATTGGATGGCTGCATTCTAGATCAGCAATTTATACATGGTATAATGAGGAACCAACACAAAGGGCTTGCAATACACTACACTTTTTGAGCATGATCTTTTTTTATGTAAATCTGAGCAGTAGTTTTAAGATATGAAAGATGAGGTATAGATTACAAGCACTTTTTGCAAATGCATATGCAGCCAGAGATCCTTATACTGAAGGATCTGAGCCTGCCTTTTTCCAATGACAATCACAAAAGCCTTGCAATGAGCTTTGGTACAGTTTGCTTCCTTGACTTGCTTCTACAACTTCGAGAAGTCCCCCTTGTAAGGTAGAACTACTTGCCTCATTTACTAACTGAATTGTTGGCTCTGTATCCGACTCTGCCAAACCAACTTCACACAGCACGAATAAAAGGTACCTAATCGAATAAAAATAAAGCGAAATTCAGTGTTCAATTGTATTTCCCTAGTATTATTGTCACAGTCACATATATTTGGATACAATTTTTTATATTAGATGGTGCTTCTAGTCTAACGTTCTGTGATTTACAATCATATATAATTTGGCAGTGACCTTCTCCGCTCCCCACCCCAACTATCAACCATTTAATTTATCCTATTATACTGTACAAATCACAGAGACTTAACAAATCCTTCGTAATGTATGCTCACCGAATTAAAAATATATAGGTACCTCAATTACATGAATAGCTCGCAGTTTTAAGTCACAAAATTTAAATACTGTGCAAGTACCTAAATATTGTACGATGATTATCTCAATTCTAGTTAGATTGCTTACGAACGGAAAAGAAAAATAATACTAAGCGTAACAAATTTACAAAAAATTTGGCAAATAATGGTCCAATCATTGTCAAAATACGGTTAACAAAGTTTCATAAAAAATCTAAGTATCTAGGTATTGGAGTAAAGCTGCTTTTTACAGTAGATTGATGTATCTAGTTTTAGAATGAAGAGAATGGGCCTAAGATGTGAATGTAAATGGTCGGTCCAACTGTACGCTACCAACCGATCATTTATAAACACTTTGTATAATGCTAAATGCAACTGTACAAGAAGCAGTATTTGGCAAATCAATACAGCTAATTCTTATGGTAATAATAAACTTTACAATAAAAAACAATTCAACTATCAATTAGAGAGAGTAATAATTGACATTCCATATAGTCCAACAGAAAACTCAAAAAATGAAATTGAGTTTAGACAATTTAACAACATTATTAACGTTTATCGAATGTTACAGAAATAAAAATTTGCTTGTTAACTACTCTGGTTACTAGCATTTTGCAAAAATGTAATAAAATAACATCTATTACACCACATTTCAAACAAAATGTCCTTGAAGAAGAGATTTTCAGTTTGAAAATAGTGGAGGCAACTATCACAGTTATGGTTCCTTTAAAATAAGGAAACTACCAATAAATCGTTTCCTGTACGTCTCTCTTACTTCTCTCAACAAAGCTGCTAGTTATAATTAATCGAATCAAGTGTTTTGCCAAGATTTGCTACCTTTTTCAACTAACCAGACTAGGTTTATACGAAGGTAGATTTACACATCTGAAATAAAAATGCTTTGGCGTGCATCAGGTTTTTGAAACAGGATTAAAAACAAAAAGCATTAAAAAAGTGAGTATGTTGCTATACTCAAAATCAATTTCACATAAAACACACAGACTTTTGATTATTGTTGGAAGACTTTTCACATTTGAATGTGAGCATGAAAAGAACATAGAGAGATGTGTTGGTACTGTTACAGTACTTTTCCAACAGTTAAATGGACTAACAGACAAAGGAAGCTATAAGGAAAAAAAGAGACTTAAATTCAGCACCCAAATAAATAGCAAAAATGTTTGTGACCGTTGCATTCATCGAGAGAGTGTAAGAGAAACATACCTTCGCGAAGATTAAAATTAGATTAACAAAAATACTATTTAACCAAAATGCAGTATCAAACATAAATAGATAAAAATATTTAAATAAAAACTCTATTAATCACTTAACGGGTGGGATTAAACATTTATACAGTGTGATACGTGAAGTTTTACACAGCATATATTAAAGTTGTTTCTCCAACAATTTCCCTGAGATTTCTTACTTGGTTACCAAGACGTTGTTTTGCTATCACTTTAATGATATGGATATTACAATTTTTAGAGAAGATATAATAATACTAATAAGTTGAAATTGATCAATAAATTCTTATAACTGAGCTTTGGATTTTTGTTTAAAAATATTGCAATTAATAGTTTGTATAAACATACCTACTAACTGGTCTCATTGTAATAGGTAGATACATAGATAGAGTTCTACTAATTCCGAGGTAAAAACTGCCTATTTGGGATATTGTTACGTAGAATACAGTGACATACTGAAAAAGTTTTTGGACCACCTTTTCTGAGATTTGACCCAAAGTGGGTATTTTCAACAACACCTTGTATATCTTAATGGCAATTTTTTAAATAATAATAATAATATGAATATTTATTTCTTTATTTATTATTATTTATATTATTATTATTATATTTATTCCAAGAATTACATGGAATCTCATGGTACAAATTTAGCAAAAGCTGCTTTTCCATATTATGCACCATGCACATAAATAAGTGGAGTATCATATAAAATAAAAAGTAACACTTTAACAGCTAAAAATAAAACCTGTACATCATAGTGACATAAAAATAAATAACTATTATAATTGACAAATATTAAATAAGGAGACGTAAAATAAAAATGAAAAGGTAAGTAAAACAAAATCTTAACTTTGTGATGTAAATAGGATATTGAACATCTCACACTTAAATTTTTTACTGGTCAAACCCTTGAGAGCGAAGGTACAGTGTTATATACCGAAGTCATATTGTAACTCAAGCTCAAAACATTTGTATTTGCAATTATTTTTTATTTTTTCAAATGACAAAATAGCGATTTAACAAAAATAAAAAAAAACATTTTTTGATAACCACCCCATGGCCAGGCCATGAACCACTCCATAGATTTTTGAATACAAAACATTTATAAAATCCCTACACCATCTACTACATTTGTTGTAAAGACTGTATCGTTAGATATCTTTTTTTGGAAAGTGCTTGTTAAAAATGGGTTGCCATTTGAAAATACTAGTTAAGACATGAAAATGTAATTTTGCCAAATTGTTTTATTTCCGTCTCTCATATTAGCCACTAAAACTTTGCGATTGTAATTTTCTGAGATCACCTAAGGTCCTTAGATTAGTTTGGGGCCCATCACGGCCACCTAGATATTAAAAGTGGCTCTTAAAAAAGTAGGAGTAAAAACTTTTGACAAGGTCACGTTATTTATTAAACATTCATTGTTCGTATTTGTAACGTATTTACAAATAGAAAATGTGTGGGGCCGCAGTCAAAATGGTTATGTAAAATTACTTATGCTTGGAAGAAACTATTGTTGTTGTACCTACCTGCTTATAAGTAATGGTCAGGGGTTGGAATTTCAAGCAGCCATAGACTGACCCCTGTCGTCCTTAAAAACAATTTATTATTATTATTATTAACATGGTCAATACTGCAAAAACTGTAATCTCCATATGTGTCTATTAACGTCACCTTAGAGATATCAATAAAATACACAACAATTCTGAGCACCCTGTATAGTATAGCAGTACTCATCAGTCATCTTCCAAATCAAAACAATTAATAGAGCATAAAAATTTGCAATTCATTCTAATTTCAAGATTTTTTCAATTCCGTGGCGAAACAGAATTGACTCAAATGTTAATGTCAAAATGTGTATCACACTGTATAAATGAAATTGAAAAACACCTGAAAGTAAGTACAGTGTTTTCATTTGTCAAATGAATAAATCATATTCTAGACACCCCACCCTGTATCTATTGGTCCTTTAAAAATTATGGTTTTAGTAACAAGGGCTAATTATGAGCAGCCCGTTTTCCCGCCATGTAAGCAATCCACCTTTCAGCGGTTTCGGTAAACAAAGGTTCATTATCAATTGTACTAAGTAATAACAACTGGTTAACATGCGTAGCATGATAATCCCATCGAGCTAAATTCGGCGCTATACCTAACGTAACATGTCTCAGATCATAAGAAGTCCCACTGCCCATATCATACAGTAGAAGCATATTTTTCAAAGAATTCATACCCTCGGCGTACAACAGATCGGCTTCTTTAGCATGATTAGGGGCGATTGTCATTAAGTCGTACAAACCTAAAAGTGAATATATAAACCCGTTCAAGACAAAAGACGCAGGTTTTGTCGGGTATTCTTCGTACCAATGGTACTTATTGAAAAATGTAGCTAAAACGCCTCCTTGCCAGCTCGGCACTCTGAACGGTTTTAGTCCCATCAGGGCCGCGTTTAGGTAAGTAGAATCGCCTCCCGAATGATGATAGGCTCGCGCAAGCACCGAAATCGCATGACCCTGTCCCATTGCTGAATACCAGCCGGGTTCCAAATCTTGAAAACCAACAGCAATACGCCGTTTCACCGGATTTGGCCATCCGCCCGTCTGTCTATCTTGATACTTCACAAACCAGTTGGCGGCATCGTAAAATTGCTGGATGTGTTCTGAAGACGAAAGTGTTAAGTTATCAATAGCGCCATTTCCACGCAGGACGAAGCCGATAACTTTTATTTTTGAACGAGGCATTTTGTGTTTCGACTTATCCTTCTCGAGGTAATTTAAACCCTTTTGTAAATCAACAATTAAATCTCGAGTTAATCTACACCAGCCGAGATTAAATCCGATGCCGTGGTAAATGTTTTTATCTTGAGCAGTTACGAGTATATCGGACGCGATGTAATGCAAGTTGTAAATATCTTTTTTCTCTCGGTTCTGTAGAATCACGCTAAAGCTGCTATTACCGTTCAATAAAATATTTACACTCATCACGAAATCGAGGACATGATCCATCTTTACCCTAATTCCCCCGCTATAATTATCAGATGTGGAAAATTTTAAGACACGATTAGCAGATTTATCTACGGAAATTCTAGAAATGCTAGCCGACTCGGGTATTGACCAATGTGAGATTTCCTTCTCCCCGTCCTCCAATACCTTCCGCCGTGGTTCGGGCTCAGTTAAATTTTTGCTATAATGAGAGAGACCAAACTGGGCGATTTGCGTAGGATAAAAGTAACCCTGACTTTCCCACTGAGTCGATATAGGAACCCCCTCAATCGCACTAACACATTTGACACGCTCTCGTACTTCAACGTTATAATTTTCAAAATACATAAAAACACCTTTGGGATCATACTTTCCTTTCGGATGATAAACACGACCGTAGCTGTGCGACCATTCGAAACGTTCCAATCCATCGTAGACGGCCAACTTGCCGTAAACTTCAAAGTATTTGTGCAAAAACGAAAAAGGTAAATAAACTTCGTCACCTTCCCTTCGGCACCCTATGCTATACTCTCCGTTAATATCACAATCGATTTCTTCGGAACCCTGAATTTCACCGCCTCGCTCAGCGTTCTCCCTGTTCTGACGTAGCCACTCTCTGGAACCGGGCAGGTCGCCGCAACGACTCCAAAAAGTTAGCGTTATCAGTACAACCGCTCCGCAAAGGATCACCAGAGCTGCTTTGATATTCAGCCGCATCATTACAAAAAATAATGGTAGGCCCTGAAAATTGAGGGGTAAGTGGCAGGGAATAATTTAGAATGGACCTACCTCCTTGTGGTAACTGTCCTGACCTACCACAGGGGTTGGGTAAATACTCCCACTAAATTTATGTGTGTTAACCATCAGCTTTCTTACATTCCAGCGTTATATTGAAAATTCAAAACGTGCCTTTTGGGGTATTCCATTTTTTTGCATAAAAACATTTTCACTTTCGATTGCTCGAAATATAAACAGTGGAATTAGGGAATTTTGTTTTTTAGTGGGATACTTTTAGGCCAACACTGAGCAAACATACAGGATGAATCCACCTTGATACAGGATGTTAACTAATTATCAACACAATTTCTAAGCAACGGTTCTTGTACAGGGGAAAAAGTATTCATATTTCTCAAAAATTAGAAATTTGATGTTTATATCGCATTTCCGAAATTATTAATGAGTATTTTTCAAGAATTCTTCCACCACGCGAAAGCTCATCATATTTGCTATCTCATATATAACAAAAAGAAAGCCAATTTTGTTTTTAACAACTGCCCCGTAAATTTAAAGTATTAATACACGAGACGTGTTATGAAATTTTCAAGGTCAAAATATTTTCGTTATTATTGGGCATATACAGGGCGCCCATTATGTATGGAATATAGTATAATTATATCTCGATCAATATCGACTGCATACCAAATTTTTTTATATAAAAGTTGTTTAACATTTTATTTCCCTTAATAAGGCAGCATTCTGCATTCAGTTGTTTTGATTTCAGAAAACAAACGAAGTAACGAAAATCAACTGAATATTTGTAAATAGGTGTGCACCCTTTCATTAGCCTCATTTCATAAAGATTTTTTTCTCTTTTCGACTATGTAACATGTTAGTACCCTTATACAAGAACATTTTTCAAAAAAAAGTATTACCTATATTAAATCAATAACATTAATCTAGATATCCTACATCAAAATAAATCAAATGAACGTGTACGTTTCTTATTAAATCTGGAAAAAAACACGAAATTAGCATTAATTGTTGCAGCAATTATTCCCAGAATACTCAGATATTCATTTCAAGCTTCCCGTGATAGTTAGTTCACTGCCTTGCAGTTATAATAATAATATTTTGAACACTTATTGGGAAAACCCGTTTTATTGCTAATTTAATTTGGTCTTCGAGGTGTCATAAGAAGCATACACGTTCATTCGTTTTATTTTGATGCAGGATTAATGTTACTGATGTAATTATAATACATTTTTTTGAAAAATTTTCTTGTATTACGGTACCTAGTAACATGTTCGAACATCATCGAAAAGAAAAAAAATCTCTATCAAAGGAGCCTAATGAAAAGGTCCACTGCCTTTTAAAAAAATCCGATTGTTCTTTGTTACTCAATTGTTTTGTGAAATAAAAATAACTGAATGCTGCCATATTATGGGAAATAAAATGTTAAATAACTTTTATATAGAAAATGTTTGTATGCAGTCGTTATTTACCGAGTACTATATTCCATACATAATGGGCGCCCTGTACATTTGGGTTTACTTATGTACAATAAACAAAAAAATACCGTACAATAATTAGACAGCTAGTTTGCTGCATACGTATTCCCAGATTCTGTCTCCAGACTTTTCATCATGTGCCATCTCTTCACTTATATGCGTTTCTTAATGGCTTGATTTATACCTTCATTTTCGAGGTCGACATTTTTTGTTTCTTCCCGGTGATTGCCCGACCCTTTAACCAAGTGATATTTGGTCATCAAAAGTCCCTTTGTAATTTCATTTTTCTCATAAATCATAGCAGCATAAAATGCAGCAATGAAATGTTTGTGGCACAATTCTGCACGTTACTATAAGAAAATATTACTCTTTGCTATAAGTAAAAACCAAGCTAATAAAGACCTTTGCAGCGGTATGCGCCATTTGTCCATTTAGGGGGCCATTTGCTGGGGGTTGTGATCACAAAGCTGTCTCCCCCTTCAACCAATAACTGACTTTTTCTTTAAATATACTGCCATATTATATTCAAAGATTTGAAGATATTTGAGCGGTTTTGGAAAGTAGGTATATATTTTACGATCAAAAAAGCTCACCCCCCCTATAACTAACTTTCCAAATTATAAGGGAATCAAATGATTTTAAATGAATTAAAAACTCTTTAACATTAATCTAGATCAATTCCAATTTTCTGCACGTAGAATTGAAACTCATGTAACTCCCAGCGCAAGTTTTAATTTCTGTTCAAATATTTATAAGCAGAAAGCATATTCATATTAATCAATTAATAAATAATAGAATAATACTTATAAAAATTACAACATAATCAAATCCCCTCGTAAATTATAATCTATGATTAAATTTCTCGTAGTTCTTTTGATTTGCGTCCGTAAAATCATAATATTATAGGCATTAATTAATGTAAACGTTTTAAATACCGTTGACTTAGTAAGATTTCTAATAGAGAACCGGTATACACTATACACGATGGCGTGTATGCAAACCATCTGTCACAAATTTGATTTTCAAAAGATTTTTTAAGATAGTGGATTTAATTTCTGATAGAGAGACGTGATAGAAACTATGAACGTCACAATTATAATAAGTAAAGTACAAAATGTTGTTTGATTTGAAGTACTCCGATCGCGTTTATACCGTCGATCAGAATTTTTGCAGTAAAATTTAAAGGAAAAAAGAATAGCATCAAAATTAAAATAAGACATTAATTAGATTGAGAAATAGGGAGAATTCTGGAAAGATCTGCGCTTATATTAATATCCATAAGTAGGCGAAACATAGATGTTTCATTTTCTACCAATATGTTTATTCAATATTGGAAATAAACCAATAGATGCAGATTTTTACAGGTTTGGGTATTTTAATAAGAAAATGTTGCTTATATTCCAATTTCATAACTGCATAATACAGCAAATAAATGGTTAAAAGGGAACATTATACAGTAGAAAGGTGATTTTCTAGGTTTGGGCGTCTTCGGCAACTGTATAAATGCAATAGATTGCAACTTTTTCTGCAACCAACTGAAAGTTTTTCGTAAAATGGGGCAAAGTTCGCGCAAACGTAGTTGTCTAACAATGAACAACAATGCGCGCTAAAGATGCGCTAGTTGGCGTCGGGGCGCCGCGCCTTCTCCAGAATCGATCGGGAGGTAGGGGGCGCGTTCGTCGGAGCAGTTAGCAGGGTTGCTGCTTGTAGGGTCATAGATCGTCCGTTCGCATATTGGCTGAGAATGGATAAAAAAAGAAGGATTAGATTGAAAATATGCGGTATAGTGATCGAGTGTTAGTTGGGGTCTTTCTAAGGAGTGCGTGGGGTAGCGGCGGGTCGTCAGCCGCACCATAAGAAATGCCGTGATGGCAAGAGAGGTACTTACTTGACCTGCATGTGTGTTAGTACAACCCAAATTATTTAACAACCCTTTCCCCTTTAATATCCGCGCTGTTAAAAGCGAGCGTTTATTTCACCTTGTAACTGCAAAGCGCAAACACCCCTTTAGCACTTACGTGTAAATTGCAAATCGTTAAATGTTATAGGCGATTCCAAATTGCTCAAAATGAACAGTTGGGTATTTGTGGCTTTAGTAAATAGAATGTTGATCTTTTCGAAGTTGCTTTTGAAAAATTGCATGCTTTATTGCCAAATAGGTACTGTTTACAAACGCGAATCGATAGGAGCAAAATTGCATCGTTTGAACCAATATTTAATCTTATAGCATTAGAAAACCGAGCTTTTGGGTTCGCTTCGGATTAGTTTAAAATCGTTGGTGGTGGTTTTGCAGTGCGGTTCAATGAATAAGAAATTTGTCTTTAACCGAAGGAAGTCCGTTTGTCTTAAAGTAACTCAATGTTGTTATTAATTGCATGGGTGGATGAACAGGTGAGAGTATAGGGTGTGTTATAGGAGTCCCGCGGAAAGAGACCCTTCAAGCTATGGGACGGGCGGCGTAGCGTGCGCAAGGGTCTGGTGGTGGGGAGTTTGGAAGAACTGGTGCAGCGCGGACGGGACAAGCTCGGTGTATCCGTTGGGGAGTCTGTACGCCTCGTTCTTGAAAGTGACGGTACCCAGGTAGAAGACGCAGAGTATTTCCGCACGCTTCCAGCTAACACCGTGCTGCTTTTGTTACGACACGGAGAACGTTGGCTACCAGCTGGTGTTGATGTAATACGTGCAGGTAATATACCGATTTAATTCAATTACGCTAGTAACTTGTTGCTTATTTTTAATCAACTCGGTCACTAATAGCGGTTTTTGTCAGTAGCGATCTCTGCAATACCAAGGATCGTATGCGAAACCATACACGCGTTGGAGCTGCACGATGAAACACCCTCTTGGAAGATCATGGACAACAAAGGGCGGGTTACAGTGGTGCTGCACTGGGACCAGAGATCGGGTCCATCGAGGGCTTCTTCCTCGGAGACACCGTCACCTGGACCGGGGAAGTTTTCACCTAGCAAGCGACCGTCGCTGGTGATCCAGACCTCCTCCGTCGGTAAAAAGGAGACGCTCATCAACGACGTGTATTCGCAACAGCCTCAAGCCCGGTATCCGAGTCCCCAAATTACTGTGATAAACCATGACGAGGTAAAACTGCCACCTCTGCACCGGTTACCGAAGCAGGGTAGCTCCGTTGAAAGCGGTACCATCCACATTCACACACCGGAGTGTGCTCATCATGCTCATCAGCCTCGAGCCGGAAGCCCGCAAAGTAACGGCGCCATCGAATGCGACTTCCATTGTTGCGCTCTTCACGAAGAGGGTCGCAAGATAGCTGTACATAAGAGCGTAGCGACATCGCCGATTCAAGATGCTCAGCAGCAAACGTCGCCGCAACCACCTTCTAGACACGTCCGTTTTTTAGACGTGGAAGGTCGGCATTCAGCCGCTGAGCATGAAAGTTCTGAGAGTGAAACCGAAAATACAGTTATGGAAGATGAAGCTATAACTTCGGAAAAGTTCCTGTTGCTAATAGATCAGCTGAGTGTTGACCAAAAGCGACATTTGAGTATTAAAGATATCGGTATCATTCTTGAACGGCTCAGTTCGAAAATCCTGGATGTCGAACGTTTAGATAGAGAAAGTGAAAGCGACGATTGTTATAACTGGACCATAAAGGCGACGATTCGAGGTGATGTTCTTAGGGAATTGGGTGTCATATATAACGGAAATTATTACGCTATATCGGAGCATCCCGGTTACAAGGAGGAAAATGAGGGAGGAGGCGAAGAAGTCGAAGAGGAGGAGGAAGAAGAGGACAGGCTGTGAGGTTTGGTGCAGTTGGACCTTTATGCTAATCTACTGCCAATTTTGTGTCAAAGCGCACAAAAAGACAGACAAACTACATTAGTAATAATAAAAAGAAGAAACAGGTGCCGCGTTATCACATATCGCATGTGCACGGCGCGGATCTTGTACCTCTACCCTAGTGGCGTGCGATCGTTACGCTGTCCGTGGATGTGCATTTTGAGTCGCCCCTGGACAACGACACTAGGGCTGACAATCGATGATCGATTGGATATTTGTTCGATGATAACGGGTTTTCATCAACTCTTTTCATCCATGTTTTGTATAGGTTCTGTTAATCATGTAAAATCATTTATAAATAAATACAACTATCGCTTACATAGCTGTTGTTTGTTGTTGGTGGTCCATCACGGATGGATCCTACAATCGTTCAGCCCTAGGGTGCTCCGTGAACGCGATAAATCGACCTTTGAGCGTACCAGAAACTTTTCGTCGTTTACTGGAACGCGTTATACCGAGGTCTTAAATTGTAATTGCTTTTTACTTTTTATAATTCTGTGGAATGTGCCATGCTATTATATTCGAAGATCGTTATTTTTAAGACATGATAGTCGGCGTAATAAGATATTTATGAATTGTTTAGGATACTTGAAAATAAAAATAATAATTTATACATGGACTCGTTAACGATAATTGTATATTTTGCTCAAGAATATGTAACTATAACTACTTTGTATTTGTTTGACGAATGTGTTATATACAAGAATTTTATCTGAGTTACAGATATTTTTCATGAACATGGAAAGAACTGTAGGTCTATATTAGATAAAATTATATAAAATTAACAAATCAATTGAAAACTACTTTCGCTTTAAGAAATAGACGTTCCGATTTTCGTATTTGCTTGGGTCCGTATTTCCTAAAACGACTGTAGACATATTGGCGTTTATAAATAACACTATTAGTACATTTATATGAATATATCCAATACTGATGCAGATGGAAAGGGCATGATTGTTGTCCATCACATTTGTATAATGTTCTAAAAAATCTTGATTAACACTGCCAGTATGTAAAAATAAAATAAAGTACTCATGTACATAATTTTGTTGTGTTCATCAAGTAAACACTGAAGATTAAACAAATCCCCAAAACCCCTTACTAAAATACTGTGAAACGCGTTCAAAGTGAATTGTGTGTCATAAAGAGTTCGAATTTTAAGCACACTGAACAAATTTGTAAAAGATGAAAAAAGCTACTAAAAAAATAGGCAACGAAAGAACGTAATCGGGGCGTGTCCTACTTCAGCTTAATTACGCTACCTACACCCATTTTGATTTTTTTTAGATTCGTTCGCTTCTTTAATTACGCATAAAAAATAAATTATAACTATTTTAATTGAAATTGTTCAGATAAATCCGAAGAAAAGTCACGTGGCCTAGTAACCCAAATACAAGAGGGCGAAGACACCCTAGTGATATAATGACCTCAAAACCTCTCACCAATCGAATTTGAACCGAAATCAAGAAGAAACTGAGAGCATTTTTAATCGTGCGAGACTGTTATTAACGATAATGTTGTGAGTGTATTGACGAAAGTTAATTTAATAAAGGTAAATGAAGGTTCTATGCCCTTCGTATATTTAGACGCTACGAATCTGTACGGAAAAATGCCAAGTGCGACAATGAAAATTTTGTCAAGACGAAGATGAATAGTGCAGAATTGCAGCATTTGTTCATCCGTTATCCTAGTTCCACGGTTATCCTTAACGAGTTCTAAAATCTCGGGCAATGACATCGGGTGTCGAGGAGTGCAGGGAAATGACCCTCTCACGGCACACTGCCCTAGTTTTGAGGGAGCATCCCATTGCAAGGGTGAGCCAGCTGCTGCACCTCTAATACTGATGCCATCTCATCCTGGAAACTGTAACCGTTTTTCTACAACTTGGGCGTATTTGTTTATCTTTTCTAAACTCGAGCGATCAAATTGATTTTCGACGATTACTCACTCTCGAAAATGTATGCGAACTGCGAACGTAAATTCGGTTGTGTTAAGGTGACTGATCACCATGCGAACACTTTATTAAATTCGCTCCTCATTATGATGTAAAGATTATGTACAAATGCATTTCACAAATAAAATTTAAATTTTAGTCCGAAATGTATGTTACAAAGCTCATCATTTTAGAAACATTTTTTCTTCATTGGAAAGTGTAACAAACAGGCAGTAAATTATTGAGGATAGGTGATTTGTGTCAATTATCACAAAAATTGCGCGGACGGAAAAATAATAAATGTGTAAAAGTTAATTGAGATTTATGTGAAAATAGTCATTGTATATTAATTTGTCCCTAAAGTTTCTATACATTTACGAATCCTACTGACAGCACATTGCAGTAGCCGTGTAGGTAGAACGGTGCAGGATCAGTATTTGGAACACAGCAGGATCCCCGGGATCCTGAATGAATGAAACGTGGGCGTAAGGCGTGGCCTATGTGGGTGTACCACTACACAGGATCGCCGTGGTTTTCTGCAGGTCCTTGAAAATAAACACGCGCTAAATTTTATTGTCTGATAACAGAGTATCCCCTGTAGATGTAGGTATCTATGTATCATGATTGTTATTTTAATTGAGTGCTCGGTAGATATTTTTACACGTTCAAATAAAGCTGATTAACTTTCAAAACTTTGCAAGGTGCATTTTAATTGCACAACGGGGTTCATTTACTTTTAATACTTTCAGTATTCGTACAGAGATAGTAATACTTCATCACACTTCATCACAATTAATTCTTTCTATTAATCAGCGCCTGCCTTATTTACATACCTAATTAACTACATCAAAGAACGGTACGCAGCAAAACCATAACAAAATTTGATTTACAGGTGGAATCCTCGGGATGCAAATCTGTGGGTGTGTCAGAACGCCTTAGTCACAATAGAAAATATCACGCACCTTTGACCTTTTTGGTAGTAATTTGCGTACTTATACATATCTACCTACATACTTTTTTCTCATTAGCAAAATCGAATGTACCTACATCAGTTTATTTGATTCAAATTAAACATTTTTTCTATCGTTTCGTAAAAAATTTACTCTTATGTAAAATGGAAAAAATATAAATCAAATATAAATATCACAGCACAGAGAGAAAAATCAAATACTAGTAGCACCGCTCAATATACTATAATATATTGTGATTGCATTGCATTAGATAATTAAGTAATAGAACGCAATGTGTAACAAAATACTTGATTTTAGTGTGTAAACTTTCAGGGCAGTACAATAGGTACCTTTGCAGAAAGCTGGTGGATTTACAATTTTTTTGTGATTTATCGTTTTTGCTAGTTCATTTATTCAAATGGAATAAATGTTCATTACCAACCGACAATCGTCAATTTACATGGATGCCATTTTAGAGTGAATGATTTTGTTTCTCATTTTTATTCATTTCATCTGCTTCCTCTCCGTCGAGCTCCCCGTTTACGAACTTGTATTTCTCTTCCAGCGGGTTGTTAAGAGAATAATTCTTATTACATTATTATTATTCTATTAAGTAATTATTGTTTTATTAAATAGAGAAGACTATCACTGTTTTCAAAATTGTTAAGTAAATCCAACTCTCACAGAGGTAGACAATTTGATAATCAGCTCAGCAGCGTCAAATCTCACGCAAAAAGCGTGAATATAAATTGAAATGAGGCGAATTTGGATATGGCAGAATTTTAACGGAAAGAATTTTTGTGAAGTATTGGACGCAATTGTTAACTTTTTGGAGGATAATTTGAGGGTAAGAACTTGTTCCCTCCGTATATCAGACCCGATTATTATGCTTTACATGCGCCGCTTGAACTTTTATTTAGAATCTGCCAGCAACAAATTTTCAAAATCTCATTAGAATAATATTGTAGAAAAGAAATCATCAATGTCTCTCGCATTCGCGCGAATATTGTATCCAATTTATTGATACAGCGGGCCATTTTCATATTTTGTAGTAGCTGATCCCCTGGACTTGGGACCTCCTTTGGGAAATTTTGTTTTCTTGGACGCTCGGTTTCGGCGGCTGAGCTGCCTTCCCTCACGCATCGGGGGAACTTGGTACTACAGTACATACCTATATCAAATTCCCTAAAGTTGCATCGCAATCGGGAAGTTCTAATGAATATTACTTAAATATAAAATATAGATGTATTAACCTTTAATTCGATTAATTGCCCAATTATTTCTGAAGATCTGGACAAATCATAAAAATCCTGCCTCCCCCCACCCTCCAAGTTATCGCCACTGAACGACCCCATGTTGCTTCAGCAAGATCTAGTTACCCGCGAATAATTTGATAAGAAGCGAATGGGAAACTTTTGACTTTGAAATTTTTCTTGTAAATTTAAGTGTGACACGTCATTATTAATTTTTCTTTTGTCTTCTATCTCATTCCGTAAAAATTCAATATGGCCCCCATAACAAAGTAGGTAATTAGTAGGCTGTAGCTTCTACATCTAGCATGCTATGGAAATTCTGATAACAGATTCAGATTCTCCGTGATCACAGAAGATGCTAACGGGAACCGTCAATCTTCGACCGTTTAAGCTAGGGAAAATGAAAACAAAATTTGCATCAACAAAGTTGACATTTTCAGTTTTTGCTGATATCTCGATTTTTCTCAAAAGTATTTTTTTGATCACAAAAGGGGGCAATTTTGCCTACATTCAACCTGCACTGTATCGCTCACCGTTATCGAGAATCCCATGGTGAGCCACGAATTTGAACTACCCTGTACATATCGGTGCAAAACTATGTACAGTATCACCGTAATTTTACTTCAATGACTAGATTCATTTTTGCAGTCTGTTTATGAGGATGCAATTTTTGAAGAACATTCAATGTTATATAATTATTTAAATAAATAAGCGTAAATATATTCAAGATAGATATTTATTTAAAAATATTGAATCTTATAACAAAATAATTTCACAAGTAATGGCACTTTAAAATGTGATGGCTGTGTTTACAACAATGGAAAAGTTCAAAATTTCTATTTACATTATATACAGGTCTTTAATACTTATGCTGTTTAATCATGCAGATTGGTGTGTTTAAAACAAGCAATTAACTTAAAACAAGAGTTAGTAAATGCAACAAAAAATAGCTTACTTTATATGGAAATAGAAATAGAAACTAACTTAAACGTTAATTCGCTATAGCAACTTTTCGTTTAATGCTACGAAATAGATTCTTTTTATGCGATTCGTGATTTGCATCTGAACATTTGTGGTTTTTATTCGATAAGATCTTTTTAAGCCACCCAGTTTTAATTTTGCTCTTTTTGACCTCAACAATTTGTGCGGGTAGACTGTCTGTTTCCGAAATGGAGCTAACAATTTCATCATTTTCTATACTAGGCAGATTAATCATACTACTAAATTTAACACCATTTTTCTTTGGCTTCAGCAAGCTGCTTTCATGAGTTATGTCAGGTACAATAGCGATATGATTAGTTTCCGCAATCGGAGGCGTCTGAGGTATTTGCTGAGATGAAGATCTATATATGGGAGAGGTAGGCACTGGAGATTGGTTAACCATCTTAATGGAATCTCGAACCCTCTTCCAGAAGTTGGAGAACTTTCCTTGTCGCTGATAATCCAGCATAAAAAGACACTTTAGATCTGAAGGCACTTGACAAGGCGTGTAAAGGCACGGTACTATTTTGCGTGTTTGTTGTTCTAAAAATTGAAATATTACAAAAGTGAAAATTAAAAAATCTCGTCCAATACCAATTCCTAGCGACTGAGCAAAGCTACAAATAAATTTATTAGAGTAACTATCCAAGAATGCCGGCGATAGTACAGGGACCAAGCGGTCGCACCTCAACGATATCAGTTTCATTATAGCTTCGTGTTCAAAAATTCCCGCGACTAAATCGCGATCTCGTGTGCACAGTTTTAACTTGTAGTCGTTTTCCATTTTGTCGATGAGTTCTGTGGCAAAGTTGGCATCTTCGTCAGCAAATAAAACAAAGGCGTCGTAATGTTGTGGTCCAAGACCATTTTCCAACCTCACAATGTCTTCCCTTGTTAACACAAGAGAATCTAAACCAGGGTTTACATTGCTCAATTTGTCTTTTTCACAAGTTGGTTGATAGGCTTTTATGTCCTCATCTAAAAGAAAACTTCTTAGATTCTTAGAAACAAGGGTACAAATAGGCGGGTCTGAATGAGTGCAACACTTGCACAAATATTTCCATGCCCCCAATTTGTTTACAGTATATAAACATTGTAACATTCAAGAGGGATCTATGCAGCAACTTTTTGAATCTTTGAATAGTTGGTGACGGTTGGGGATGTTTCAGTCTAAAAGGCTACGTCAAAATTCGATTTAGGTAGTGCGCCGTGCAATTTTGGTACGATTGAAGGGTAGGACATAGTTTTAAGTCAGTAGGTACCTATCATTTTGGAAAGTATTGAAACATGTTTGGCAACTGTAGAAATTGCAAGATCTACAATCACCTATCGTTTGCGTTGTTCTATTTTAACCAGCTGATAGAAGTAGGGGCGTGAAGAGAGTATGCCAGTGGCGGCTCATGAGTTACGTAGCTGGTGAGGCTGGACATGGGGGGGGGGGGGGGGGGTCTCCGAAAAAATCAGTTTAGCTACAATTTGGCAATTTCTTACCCCAAAAGTTAAAAAAAATTAATGCTTTTTCCTATATTTTAATGGGTGTACCTATACAGTAGACATTGAAAGTAAAAGAAGGTACCTTGTTACCTACTCGTATTTGATACACGACACAGTACGTACATTGTAGGTATACTGCATGCATGGGCGCATTTTCTGATGAGCATTGTAAGAAATTTTCTTTGTCAGTTGGGCATGTACATAATTTTACAGGCGGTTTCCAATCCTGCCTTAAATTTATTTGACAATTAGCGACTATTTTAACCGCGTTATTTAAACCATAAATGTCACGTGTGAGCCAATCACTTTTTCATACCAGGTCTTAATAAGAGCTTTATATTTAGCTGCTTGCTTACGTTAATTAACGATTTACTTAAATCAGGAACGGGACGCTTCCACTACCGCCAATTTTAATATGAATGTTTGTAATGCAATATTTTCATTCGATCATACACAATCGGCATACGTCGTTCTCCCAGTTTAGAATTCGCAGCTCCTCAATCGAGAACGCCCGACGACAGTCTTCCGGAGATGCATCGAATCTTTTCCGTCTCTTTTACACTTGAGCTGCTAAACGGACAGAGGCTAGCCTCAAATGGTTCCTTGTTTAACATACAGCACTTAAAAACGTATCGTGGAAAGTTTACGTTGTTCTAGTGTTTCATTATATGGAACTGTAGAGGCAGATGCACATTTGCCTCGCGCTTTCATACTGCGACGCGCAGCCAATTATAAAGTAAATTCGTGGGCAATTTTAATTTTGATTTGTTCTACGATTTAAATTTATGGTGGCGTTACAATAAATAATCGTAACGTACCAAATTATAAATCTATAGGTGAGGCACTGCCTCACTTGCCTCATCGGACAAGCCGCCACTGGAGTATGCTGACGTAGTTAGCACGTTCAGAGCAGGCGTTTCGTTGGTTTCCTTTTTCGGGTTAAAAAGTACTTACACTTTAGTGAAAGAAGAGATCGAAAGCGGGCGGAAAGTATTTCAAGTATAAAAAGTTTGAACTAATCTTGGGGCGTTCGCATGAAACCTGTATTAAATAATATAATTTTAAATAAACGTGTTAATAAAGTGAACTGCTGGTCTCAACACATTCAGAGGTGGTTTTGTATTAATAAAAGACTAAAATTTCAAACGAGCCGGTATAAATTTTGCATGAGCTATACACGAAGTACTCGACCAAATATCGAAGAAGCAAAATAAACACAGTACGGGTCGTTACATTGTTTCCTGTTAGCGGCACGTGTGGTTCTCTTTAGTAAAGTTGATGGACGGCAAATTAACTCTTTTTACAATCGTGCAATCGTATTCCCAAGAAATAAATATTATTTTATGTGGATGTTACTTAGGTGTTTCGACCGTGTCGTAGTTCACGAACTTTTATCTCCAAGTAATTAAACCATTATCCCGCGCATTATTCGACAAAGACACACTTTGACATAAGAAAAGTTGACGCTGCAGAAGTCCATTAGTAATGTCTTTAATCTGGGCGGAACATTAGGCAAATTCATCTCCCTATTTAGTCAACTTTATACAATGCGTTTGAGATAAGAGGGTCGCCTCAATATCTCTTTTATTTGGCGAGATAGGAAAAATGTGTCAAATATAAATTATATATGTGACATTACGATCTATTCGATCACTTCTGGTACAAGGATTTTTTGTATTTCACAAAATTAGAATAGATTATGCAAATTTCACTTCACATTCACCTAGGTATTTCAACAAGGCCGTGGTACACAATTGTCACAAGTGATGGAAGCTGCCATTTTTTTAAAGATTGAGCTATACGAGGTAAAAAAACATCAAATTACATTGCATCAAATTGGATTTGGATCTGGGAATTACAAAGCACAGGACACAGATATTTAATCTGTGTAGGTAAGTCTATTTCACCAAATTAGACTGCAAGTAAGAAAAGAAAAAAAACAAATGAAATTGCAATTTTTCGAACAAGTCATCCCACATATCAATCAAAAGCAACGCATTTCAAATTTTTTCTGCTGACATACTTATTTTTATTCTCCTCCTCATGTGATTATTTCTGCAATAAATGAATGAAAAATGTAAGATTTGCGTTTTTCAAAAGCTGAAATTTTCTTTGGCAAGGCCATTGTAGTCCCAGTAGTGGTCAAAAAATAACCTTGAGCGCAATTATTGTGTTGCTGTTTTGTCTATAATTATAGAAATACTTGGCCTTGCGAATGAACATAAATGTGAGATGAACAAGGAGCTGATTGATCAAAGTGAGACACAGACACTTGCAAAGGAATGGGGCATTATTGGCTTTTGCAAAATGAAATTTTATAATGCAAAATCCAAGAAATTGATATTTTCTAATTTACTAAGAATCGCCCAGTAAACAATTACGCAATTTATGATGAGATAAAGTTTATGGAATCCCAATTAAACATGATAAGAACCGAAATAACTGCCAATTTAATGTCACTATAATAAAATAAAATGTTTACCAATAAAATATTGTACGTCCTCTACAACATCGAACCGATCCAATTTCTCTAAATGAGTCAAAAGGTTGCAAATGGTACTGGACTTTTGATCCTTCTCGTGCCACACACTTAACAGTTTTTTAGTATGATCCTTAGCATTCTGCAAACTTGGTATGCATTCCCCGCTAATTCCAACTAATTCCGCTAACCCATTCCAATCGCTGCAACAAGAATTTCTATCATAAAATTGTAAGGTACTAGAGCAGTATGAACCGTGGCAATCCGTCCTCGGTGAGAATAATCTTGGGCGGATTGAGAAGTGTCGACAATAAGGCGATTGTTTTAGTACTAAGAGCTTTTATTGAAACTTCATAAGAATCTCCTGCCATCGCCAGGTCAAAGCTAAAATAAAGAATGAGCATTTCAACCTCCATTTTAAAAGTAATTAATTGGCATCGTCCTTACCGGTGAATTATTAATGATTCACGACCTGGCGTTCATCTTCTAACGAAAAAACTACAAAATTATATGAAACGGAAAAGGCTAATTTGTTTAGAACACATAAATTAGCAATTTTGACAAAGCTAAATTGTAATTTGCTTGTTGACAGATGGCCAACAGCGCTGTTTGTGATGTGATCTTAAAGTGTAAATAAGTGATCAGCTGACGTACTTTTTTTCTCTTTTTCAGTGATTTTTATATTGTTTAAATATGAATTATTATGTAGTACACAATTATAAATTAGGAGACGTATTTTAATGAATTAAAAGCAGTTAGATAATCACATTGACAATAATCCGATTAATAAAGCACTGAATAGGAATAGAAAGTAATAACATAACCTAAATTTTGAACTTGTCACTTGTCAGTTGTTTAACCGTCAAGACCAGAGGATCAATGCAACGTTGTCAATTAGAAGCAATGAAAAGGACGTATACTAAACATATACATACAGTATCTTCCGTTTAAAATGATCTTTTAAGTGATGTAGCAAAGATAATTCGCGATTTAGAAATTATGAAGCGTCTTCAGCCGACAATTATTTCAGTTACTAATAAACGTATTGTGCCTGTCGGCGTATTATTTGTTGCTAAACAACCAGCCATTAAGACAGTACTAGTGCTGCCACCAAGGGTAATGTAAATCGCGGATAGTATTACCTTTAGATCTCGATAAAATGATTGAATTTATAACTATCACAAATGCGGAGGCGTTACTGGTGCTGAGTGCTGCAATACCGCTTGTTTTGTTATTAAATAGGAGGTGGCGAACGAGGTGGCGAAATACGAAAGTATAAAAAGAAACGTCTTGGAAGAGATCGGTCATCCGGGGAGAGACATCGAATGGAAGGCTGCGCCACACGAACATTGACATCCAGTGGATCGAGTCAAAGTGTGGAAAATTCAGGAAGGCGTTCTAAGAATTTACACAGACGGATCGGTAATGGAGGAAGGTGCGGGAGCAGCCAATCGTGGCGTGTTGAAACAAGATACGAAGAATCGCACACGATTTTCAGGACGGGAATTTTTTTCCATTCAGGTCGCATTCGGAAACAAGACTTAATCCGATTCATATTCAATAGCAGCGATTTTTAAACTGGTAGAAATCGATTGGCGAAGGTTTGACGCACCTATCTATTTCGTTCTCGAGTTAGACGAGGAACAGACAAACAGACGGACCAAACCATCACATTAGAAAGAAAAAAAATTTCTTAAAACCCGAGAAATTGAGACGCGAAAGGAGAGGCTGGAAGATGGGAGGTCTGCGCGATTGCTAACTTTAGAAAAAACAACCCATACACAAAGGCATTTTGTATCTCCTTTCGCATTTACGTCTATAATTTATTTGATCGCTTATTTATCTATCGAGACAAGGCACGAAGATTCCGCCAGGAATTTGCAACAAATTAAATTGTCTATAATTTACACCCTAAATAAAAAAAATCCCGTTTGATTTCAAAGAATACGAATACATCACGATATTATTACCTTACGCCTCAAACCACCTTTCATTAACTATTTTAAAGGATTTAGAGGGTGCAGAAAATTGTTAAAATTAAAATTTGGGTAATGAATTATTGATGTACAAACAAAGCAAATTTTTATGTCCATTTTGGCTTGTTGCACCTTGTGGATATAATTGAGACTTTGGCGGTGTAATAGTCACGTTGATATCTTCACAACGGTTATGGTAGCGTAGGCACAGCTGTCAGCATGTCTTCATAACCTAACCTCAAACACAAATATCACGTTTTCAGATTTAATTTGATATTTATTAGTTTTCATCGATACGTGTACGCACGTATCAGGCAAATAAAAAAAAATGGGGCGGAAGGCAAAGTTTACCGAAGAAAAAACTAAGAAAGGACCAGGACGAAAGGCAAAAAAACAAAAAGACCCGAAATTTCCAAAAGCAGCACTAGGTAGGTTTAGTACCCCCGTTCTTTAAAATCACATTTTCCGCTATCGTAGATGAGCCCGAAAAGAAACCTTCGCATCGTCAGAAGCAGAGGGCCCTTAAACGTATACAAAAACGAGCCGCACGTAAAGAAAAAATTAAGGAGATAAAGAAGATAAAGAAGGAGAATGTGGTTACAAAGGAATTGTCTCAGAATGTCAAAAGTACGACAATTAAACAGGTAAGCATTCCGAACGGCTCCACAAGTAAACCACTTAAAAGGCCGAAGAACTTCGTTCACTATCCGCAGGAGAGCGACGAGGAAGAGGAGCCTAAGGTTGACATGAAAGGGTTTTCTGATCATAATAAACAGTGGCTGAAGCCAAAGCAAGTAAAAACTGCAATGTTTGATAGCGAAGAGGACGATTCTGACGAAGAGGATGAAGATCAAGAGAGCGAGGAGGACGCAAAGGTAACATCATTGAATGACCTCTCAGATGAGGATGACGACGAATTTGATTCTGATTCTATAAAAGACGAAGACGAATCTGATTCTGATTCGATTAAGCTGGAAGAGGATGAGGAAGATGATTTGTTACCTATTGAAAAGGAGACAAAGAAATTGAGAGCGAAACAGAAACGTGAACAGAAACTGGCAGATGAAGAGCTGAAGCTTAACATTGCAGGCCAGGAGGTATTCCAATTTCCGAACGATGTGGAAAACGAGCAGATGACTTTACAAGACATTCAACAACGGGTCCGCGATGTTATTGTTGTTTTGGCCGATTTTAATAAGCTACGAGACGGCGAACATTCACGGGGGGACTATATGGAGTTACTGCAGAAGGATTTATGTAATTATTATAGCTATAATTTATTTTTAATGGAGAAATTCATGGAGTTGTTTTCGCTTTCTGAGCTTGTCGAATTTTTGGAGGCAAGCGAAGTGGAGAGGCCACTAACAATTCGTACAAATACCTTGAAAATACGACGGCGTGATTTGGCTCAGGCACTTATAAATCGCGGCGTGAATCTCGATCCAGTCGGTCAGTGGAGTAAGGTGGGTTTAGTTGTGTACTCTTCCCAAGTTCCAATGGGTGCGACTCCCGAGTATTTAGCAGGTCAATACATAATTCAAGGAGCATCCAGTTTCTTGCCGGTTATGGCATTGGCGCCCCAAGAGAATGAACGAATTTTAGATATGTGCTCGGCACCTGGCGGTAAGGCTTCACATATTGCCGCCATTATGAAAAACACAGGAGTTCTTGTTGCTAATGACGTAAATAAAAACAGAATTACTGCGGTTGTTGGTAATTTTCATCGGATGGGTGTTATTAATTCCATCATCTCCACACTAGATGGCAGGAAGTTTACTCAAACCACTACGGGATTTGATCGTGTATTACTCGATGCACCTTGCACTGGGACTGGGGTCATCGCAAAGGATCCGAGCGTGAAAACTAATAAGGATCAGCAGGACATTCAACGCTGTAGCACTCTGCAGCGAGAACTTCTACTTGCTGCTATTGATTCGGTTAACTCAAAATCATCAACAGGGGGCTACATAGTCTACTCTACTTGCTCAGTTTTAGTTGAAGAAAATGAGGCTGTTATAGACTATGCGTTGAAACGTAGAAACGTCTGTTTAGTTCAAACGGGTCTCGAATTTGGCACAGAAGGTTTCACAACGTACAGACAGCACAGGTTTCATCCAAATATGAAATTCACTCGACGGTTTTATCCACACACGCACAATATGGATGGTTTCTTTGTTGCGAAGCTAAAGAAATTTTCAAATGTAATACCTAAACCACCTACAGTTGAGGAAGCTGTCGAGGAAGTGCAGGAAGTTTCAATTGAAGACATAGAAGAAAAAATGAATGTAAGTCCATCCAAGGGTAAAAAACGAAAACACGGAGGGGACGTAACCGAGAAAAGTAAAAAGAGTAAAGTAATGAAAGTCGATCAACTTGGCACAAAAAAGGAAGGTATCAAGAAGGTGATCAAAAAAGATGGTGGTGACGCCAAAAGTAAAAAGGTGAAATTAAAGAAAGCTGATCAATCAAAAACAAACGACCTTAAGAAACCACCAACTAGTACAAAATTGAGTAAAGAAGCTAAGACGGATCTGAAGCATCCAAAAAAACAAGCAAATAAATCGCCATCGAAAACAAAAGTTGAGGAAGTTCAAGCAGAGAAAAAAGTTAAAGCAGTTAAAAGTAAAGAAGGTAAATTGAAAATGAAGAACCGAAACAAATTGGGAATGAAAGGTCAGGTGTCTACAGTTAAAAGTAAGATTAATAGCAATAAGCTTACAAGTAAAAAAATGTTCACAAAGAAAAGCTAAGTTTTTTATTAAATAAAATGTATAAACTGAATTTTTTCTTAATCTTTTCAGCCGTTGTTGCAAGCAGACTCAAAAGGGTGACATTATAACGTGTCTTTTTTTAAATAAATTCAGAGGTAAAACATCGAGAATAATTATAAGTAATTTTCATCTACAGAAATTAACGTAATAAAAACAGTCTGGTCCCAAATGTTTCATGTTGCACACATTTTGCTGTATATCGATAAAGTTTTGGATGCTATGAACCCTTTTATATAATGAACAAAAAAGTTCCAAGTTTCTAAATGTGCTATACGTACATACAAGGGGTTTCAACTAAAATTTCCACTGCACATTTTGGGCAGTATAATTCCTTTATGTGTTATTCTTTAGTCCACATTAACGATACGTAGTTTCATTCTTATTGATCAAAGTGGGCGTCATAGCAGCAGGTCTGTACTAGTGGCCGTTGCTTGCAGAAATGTCGGGGGGGGGTCTAGAACACTTCGCCGAATGCCCACAACGCCGATACGATATTTTGCTGGTCCATATGGCCGACGAACACTACGCCTACCGTGTCCACATCGTCGACAAATGTGCAAGGGGCACAACGCCGAAAATGCCCACTTCGCCGATGGACATAACGCCGACCGTGCCCACATCGCCGACAGATGTGATGGATTGTCGACGATGTGGGCACGGTCGGCGTAGTGTCCCTAGTCGGCGATAATGGACCATCTAAAAATCGTGTCGGCGTTGTGAGCATTCGGCGAAGTGTCCCGGCCCCGGTGTGGGGGACAGTAGCGTAAGGAAGAGGAGCCGTGAACCTTAATTCCCAAGTTTTGTTTCTGAAGAAAGTAAAAGGCCTTTTTAGCGCATTTGTACAAAAACTAAAACTGCCCCTACGTCCGTCTGTCCGCTCGTTCTTTGAGACGCTACTAGATCTTTATCTTAAGAGCTATTATTCTACTTTTTTCGCTATTTGTTTCGTTATGGTGTCGAGGAAGGATATTTTCTGCTATTCCGCTATTTATTGCTGAAAAAGTTATTGTAAAAAAATCCAAAAAACCATTTTTTACATGTTCCATAATTTTATCGTCTGTCTGTTGGTCTGTTCATTTGTCTGCCTGTCCCTCTATCTGTCCGTGTGAACGATAACTT